CTTAAAAATATTGTTTAAAAAGCAAATTTTCTTTAAAAATCCTTTGTAGGATCTTTGGATCCTTGATAATTTCCCATAAAAATCCCCCCTTTTTAAAGTCCTGTTTCAAAAAATATACTGCTCTATTAAGATTTGCCCAAAAAAAGACAAAACCTGAAAGCCTTCAATTAGCATTCCTTCATCTTGACCTGGCACGCAGCTCCTTTCCTGTCAATTCTCATTCACAGAACTGCCAAAAGCTCATCAGCAGCTGGCTACTGGTAATTCCAAAACACTTTATTCTTTGCTTTTTGACAGGCTATTGCCAATCAAAGTGAGTGTTTAGAAAAAAACGTGAATGAACATGATGATGGGAAGGAAGGTGAGGGTGAGGTAGTCACCTCATCGAAAAAAAAAACAAAAAACCGAAAAAATATCCTTTGACCATGGAAAGACAATTTGACAGGATAAGACAATAAAAGGTTTGTGAAACGATTAGAAAATCCTCTGTGAAAAGTGAGGAGAAGGGAGGAGGAACAAAGCAGTTGTGTAAATTTGGTATCCTTTCTCGTATGCCTTCCAGTGCTTTAAAATGGAATGCAGGATATCATAATTTCATGAAGAGTCCTTGCAACAACTCCATTGCTTGTAATAACTTGTAGTTTTTTTAATTAACTGACAACTGTGGCCAACCGAATTGTTGTCATTCCTTCTATCATTTATTTTTACCCCCCTTAACAATTGTTTTTGACTTGAGGGCTGCAAATGCATCCAACCATCCATCCATCCATCCGTCCATGCTTGCCTTCCTTTTGACATGTTTTATAATTTCTTCTAATTAAACTGTCTTCGTCGTTCGTTCGCTTTTTCTTCATTCATTTATCCTTTTTGGCGAAAACATATTATGAAAACATGTTCCTTCCAACTGCCAACCGCTTGAAGGTTACTTCGTTACAACCACAATCAGGGCCAGCGAAGTTGTTGAGTGCCGAAGAGAGGGGAGGGGGAACTTATCACTTTGCAACACATTCGCGGAAAACAAAAAAAATTACCAACACGACTGTTCTCTAATCTACCAAATGTCATTTTGACATTATCATCATGTACAACATGTTCAGTTGGGCGCCACCAAACAACAACACCAACCAACGAACTAACGAAGTGGGAAGGCAAAGCGAAGGGTCTCTATTTTCAAGGGAAAGAAAGTTGCTAAGATTTTTAAAGAATTTATTTTTAAGGACTTTTAAGGACCTGAAAACTTCGGTAAGCAGTGGAGTTTTAAAGAATATTTTTCTTAGGAACTTTTGACCTTTTCAAGGGTCAATAGTCCTTCAAACGTAGATTTTTTAAACATATTTTTTCAAGGATCAAACGTGGATTTTTTAAATAGATTTTTTTCAAGGACCAAACGTGGATTTTTTAAATAAATTTTTTCAAGGACCAAACTTGAATTTTTTAAATATTTTTTTTCCAAGGACCAAACGTGAATTTTTTAATATATTTTTTCAAGGACGAAACTTGGATTTTTTAGATATATTTTTTCAAAGACCAAACGTGGATTAAATAGATTTTTTCAAGGACAAAACGTGGATTTTTTAAATAATTTTTTTCAAGGACCAAATGTGGATTTTTTAAATAGATTTTTTCAAGGACCAAACGTGGATTTTTTCAAGGACCAAAAGGACCCTAAACTTTGATTTTTATACATATTTTTCCAAGAACTAACAACCTTCCAAATTTGATTTTTTAAGGACCAACGGTTCTCCAAACCTGATTTTTTTTAAAGGGCCAAACCTGATTTTTTAAGGACCAACGGTCCTCCAAACTTGATTTTTTTTAAGGACCAACGGTCCTCCAAACCTGATTTTTTAAGGACCAACGGTCCTTCAAATCTTAATTTCTCAGTCATATTTTTCCTAAGGACCAACAGCCCCCTCCCCCAAATTTAGATATTTTAAACATATATTATCAAGGATCAACAGCCCTCCAAACCTGCATTTTTCAGTCATATTTTTTCAAGCATCAGCAGATTTTTTTAAAAATATTTTTTCAGGGACTAACAGCACTTCAGACCTGTGCGTTTTAAACGTATTTCTTAAATGGGCTACAATAATCCAAAGGTTGATTTTTTTTTTGAAGGACCAACAATTTTTCATACCTGAATTTTTTAAATAAAATCCTTGCAAGTACCAAAAGCCCGCCAAACGTGGATTTCATTAACACATTTCTTCAGGGATCAAAATAATCCCTTTTATTTTTATCTCCACAACTTCCTCAACTGACTTCGTTTTCTCTGAAAGCTAGAAGCATTTCAACAATAACACCAACAACATCATCACAGTAGCCCGAGGAATAAATTCCATTTGTTTTTCTCTATAGAATTTGTTGTTCTTTTCACAGAATTATAACGAACGTCATTTTGCAACGTCCAAGCCACACACACATACTCAAGTCCATATAAATATGTGGTACACATATTAACTTGGTGTGTGTGAATGTTGTGTTGAGGCATGCACATTTTTCTGGCAGACCAAAAACAAAAAAAAATAACTCCTGGCTAAAAAGGAATTGTCATTCGCACGCACACACACACACACACATCTCCCCTCAACAAAAACAAATGCACATGTGTATGTGTGTGCATTTTTCAAATGTTATTGTTTTTGTTTTCGTTGTTTCATTGCTGAACATGTTTATTCTCTGCATATTCCTGGGGATAGGATCCATCCGAAAATGCCCCTTGGCAGTGGCATATTTGTTAAGCTTTTCGTGTTAAACATCAAAAACCAACGGGCCAAAGAAGAAAAAAAAATAACAAAATATTTTAATGCCATGCATATTCACATGTATGTGTATGTATGGGTGTCACTGCATTTGTAAGTGTTGACTGAGTGTTTTGTTACTTTTTTTTTGTCAAATTGTTGAGGATATGTTTCTGAGCAAAACATTTGTCACTACTTTGTTCCCAGCTTGAGCTACTTTTGACCGTCTGCCTGGCTGTCTGACGTTTTGTCATCGCCGCTTGCCATTTGCGCCATAATGAATAGAATGTCGCTTCATTATTTTCTTTTGCTGCGTTCATTCGCCACATCATTTGAAATGTTGAGACCGACCGAAGAGAAGAAATGTCGCATTTTGTCAATGTCACTCTCATAAAACAGAGCTGGTAAGTGCGGTTAGTTTGTTGTTGTTGCTAGTGGTTTTGTTTTCAATTTGTTTGTTTTGTTTTCACGGGAATAAAATCGTAAAAATTTTGACATGTTTTTAGGTAGTTTTTGAAGAAAAAAAAAACCTGTGCAATATAATAACCTGGAGGCAAATGGGTAATGAAACGATATTTTTACAAGGGAAATAAATATATATTATATAGAAATATATATTCTTGTGAAATTCATAATTGATTTTTGTGAAATTTTCAGGAAGCTATAATTTTGGTAATAAATAAACATACTTTTTCAAATTAAGAAATTGTTTTATTAGCACAAATACAGGAATACATCTATAAAAAGGATTTTTTATAAAAAAAAGTACGCAATTCTTTAAAGCGAGAACTTTTAAAGGACCTTCAAACCATAGGGCATATCAAATCACTGTTTTATATATTTTCTAATATTTTATTTATAATTTCATCATTGATTATTTTTCAAATCATTTCAACAGTAGCCAATTCCAAATATTTTCGCTTCAAGCGGTGAATAGTAGACAAATGAATATGACGTTCTTGACAGGAACCTCTTTTGGAAAAGAAAAATCGAAGACAATAACCTTGACTGTAATATTCAAACTTTACTGATTCTCAAACTGTGACACCAACAGTTGCCACCCTCTTTTCACAACTTTCATGTTCCCTTCTTACTGGTAAAGCTATGTTCACACTCATGTAATTTTTTATTTTAAGTATCCTATTGGAACTAATCTAATGTAAAATGTATTAAAACAAACTTAAAATAAATCATAATATGACATGGTAAAACAATAAATAACTCTCAGTGACGCATTTGAATTAGGTAGCACTCGGCGTTTAGTATCGCACAAGAAATGCTGCCATAAAATAGTGCCAAGATTCACTAAGTAGAACTAAGAAGGTAAAGGCATGCAATCATATATTTGTCATTCCGTTTGTAACATCACTAATGGATTTTGAAAAAGTTTAACGGCATTATTCAAACGGTCTTACTGGTATTTGTAGCTTAAAGTGGAACACGTTTGAACTCAGATACTTTTATATTAAAAATGCTTTCTTCTTATCCAATAATGGGAACCATCTTTAGCCAAAGATGGGAACCTGTTTTCTATGCAGATACATTTGACAAGGTAAATTACAGAAAAGGAATGCATTGATAGCTTTTACAATTCCTCTGGTTGATCTTTACTATAAAATTCTGTTTTTGTATGCACCCATTGAGTCAAAAATGAGCTTCGTCGCTGGACAAAGTTGTTCTTTTTTGAGCTTCCTTAACAGAGAACGTATTTTGATGTAAAATGCAATAATTTACAAGCATTCTTCGTTTACATGTTATTAAATTAAGATTGTAAAGTCATTTCAAGTAAGCATATCCATCTCTGCATTTTCTGTAATTTACGTTGTCAAATTTCACTGCATAGAAGACAGTTTCCCATCTCTGATTTGTGTATATGCAATGAATTTATGACAACATTACTTATTCAAACGAAATCCACAAAAACCTTTTCTTGCATTTCTTTTGATAGTAAATCTGGCATTACAACACCCACAGATAGTAGTTTTTTTCTTACAACTTTCTCAAACTTATTCTACACTATCATTTCCCTTTCCCCAATTGTCTTACCTAGTTCATAGTTCATTTCAGTGAATCAATGTCATGAACTTTCCATTGTCTGATGTTTTTAACATTTGCCTCTTCATATTCGTAACAAAGTTTTTCTTTTGACTTTCCTCTCCTCATTCTATTCGGCATATTGTTTCTTCTTTCATTCTCAACTCGGTGGCAAACAATCGATGTCAATGTCGATAGTAACGATAAGATACTTTAAAAGAGGTTATCGATTGTTAACTTTTTCTTTTGTGGAACAATTGACTTCCTGAGGATTTTCCCGGAGAATTGTTTTGTTTCAAGATAAAAGAATACAAAAAACATTTAAATTATTATAAATTTTACAATTATACGAAGAAGAAGCATTTACAACAAAGACTACAGAGAAAACACGAAATACTTTGTCCTAGTTTGCATTTGGCCAAGAGGCAATAGCGAGTAAAGGATGGAGGCCGTTCCAAGGCTTCATATGCTTTGGTTTCCAAGCAAATCAAGTCCTGAAGGAACATCTTTTGCCGGTTTGAAAAGGGTAAGTTTTGGGATCACCTGATGTGGACCCTAAAAACCGTGAGAAAAAAAAGAAAAGCCACTGCAATTACATTGTCGTTGGCTGTCTGAAGGGGGGTCATTGTTAAAGGAAAATCTGAGTCATCGTTAACGATGATTTGATTATTGAGTCTTGTTATTTTTGCAATTTCAACTGCCTGCCTTTGTTTATGTTTTTTTTGTCTCTCATTACTGTTGTTTGTTTTATCTTATTTTCTTCCAGTATATTGCCGAATTTTATCAAGAAAATCCCGATAATTACTCCAAAGAGTTGTATGCCTTGGAAACATTGCGAAATCAAGCCTTGAATACCCCCAAAGACAACTGTGCTATATTGAAACGCTACTTTTGCCAATTGGAATCCCTGCTCAATCGCTTTCCCAAGTTGCGCGACAAAAAGGTCATATTTCAATTCACTTGGAAGGATTTGTACAACAATAAAGTACACGAATACAATGACATCGGCTATGAACAGGCTGCAGTGCTCTTTAATATTGCCACAGCCCATACCCAGGCTGGGGCATCAGTTGATCGCACCGATGTTGAGGGCATGAAATTGGCCTGTACCCATTTCCAATGTGCCGCCTGGGCATTCGGAGAGATACGTGAACGTTACATAAACATGGATGAGTTTGGTGATTGTTTCACCACTGAACTGTTGGTGTTCATGCAACAGGTATCTCTGGCCCAAGCCCAGGAATGTATATTGGAGAAGTCGCTGATTGATAATCGCAAGCCGAATATTGTGGCCAAAGTCACGGCCCAGATTGTGGTGTACTATGGAGCCGCCCTGGCTGCCTTGCTGACGGGGGGAGATGATGGTCCTGTGGCCTCTGTGGTAGATTCTACGGTCTACAAACAATGGAAGAAATATGTTCGTTTTAAAATTTCCTATCTGAACTGCATTTTGTATCTGTACCAGGGCCAACATGCAGAGGAACAAAGAAAAATGGGAGAACGGCTAACTCTGTTCGAGGTAAATTGTTGACAAATTGATATGCGTTGATATTTTAATTTGTTTCTTTTTACTTCTAGGCCGCCTGGGAAAAACTTGAGGAAGCACGTAAAGAATCCAAGGGCCTACCAGATCAAAAAGAAATCAACGAATCATTGATATTCACCGCCGATGTTGTCGAGGGCAAACGCAAAAATGCCAAAAACGAAAATGAATTTATTTACCATGAAACAGTACCCGAATTGGCCACCATAAGCGCAGTTCAGGGAGCCAATTTGGTGAACGGCATAAGTTTTTCGGTGACAGATCCAGAGGTAGCCGGCGAAGATATATTTGCCCGTCTGGTACCCATGAAAGCCCACGAGGCCAGCTCTCTGTACAGCGAAGAGAAGGCCAAACTTTTGCGTAAATATGGAGCCAAAATTGAAGAAAGGGACAGTGAGTTGGCCAGTTTTATGAGCTCCCTGACTTTGGACAATTTAAACATCAACGAGGAAAAGGCCAATAAAATCCCCCAAGGCATTGTGGATCGCTGTGCTGCTCTGAATGCCAACACCTTAGCCATACCGCAGTTGGTGGCTTCCATGTCACGTTTGGCCGAAATATGTACAGATGTTGAGGCCAACCTCAAGGAGATATCACAAATTCTGGCCCAAGAGGATAAAGAAGAAAAGGAGTTTCAGCAACTCACCGGCGTTCAAAGAACCCCAAATGCCCACATAACCGAATTGTCTCGGGAATATCAGAAATACAATGAAGCCCATAACAGAGCAGGTGAATCGAATGATACCCTGCGCAAAGCCATGGAACTGCATATAAACAATTTGAAAATATTGGCCAAACCTTTGCAAGAGATACAGCAATCAGTGCCGAAATTGAGTTCGGAACTGAATACAGCCGAGGTATTTAAGGATGTAAAACTGATTGTCAATAAAGTCAATGAAATGAAGGCCCAGCGATCCCAGTTTCATGCTGATTTGCGTATTGCCGTAAATGATGATGATATAACATCGAAAATCATTGCCCACGATTCGGAGGAAGAGTTGCAGGGGCTGTTCGAACGGGAGTTAGCCAAACATGAACGCCTCACACAGCTAATTGATCAAAATCTACTGGCCCAGGATAATATCTTAAAGGCTTTGACAGAGTCCTATGCCAAGGCAGCACCGGTGTTAAAAACCTTGGCTGATGTAAAACATAAACGGGAGAGTTTCTTTGCCTCGCTGGCCGCATCTTATGATGTGTATGAGGATCTGTTGGCCAAGTCCGCCAAGGGATTGGAATTCTATAACAAATTGTCGGGTAAGGTTGAATGAGATTGTTTTTGTATACCTCAGTTATTTAAAGTGTTTTTTTTTCTTTTTAGCTAATGTCCAAAAACTTTTGTCACGCTGTAAATCCGCACGAGATGTACAATCTGAAGAGAGACAACAGCGCCTGAATAGTGTGGCCAATAAACCATCAAACCCTTCCCCATTGCCCACGGATGCAACATATTCCTCTCCCACACCGCCCACAACGCATACTCCCAAATTACGTGACTACTTGAAAGCCAAAAATGCTGCCAAGGAAAAGAACATGGCATTGGGTAACAGTCCAGCGGCCTATAATTCTAGTGCTGCCCAATACATACCACCTGTCAGGCCAAATCCCTTGGGTTCTGAAAATCCCACACAGGCTGTTTGTTCTGGAGGCACTTACTATCCGAACACAGCATCAGGAAATACTGTACCACCGCCGACAGTGGGCCCCAATGAACCACCACCACCGTACAGTTTGCAACAGCAGCAATATTTCGATCCCAATGGAGCTGGCTATACAAATCCCATGTTTTACCAATATCAACAAAATGTGGCTCCGCCGGCCTACAAGCCGCAGGCATCTCCCAACTCTCAGTTTACAAATTTGAATGTGAATATGGCAAATTTGTCATTGCAGCAAAACAACATGGCAAATAGTCCCAAAATGCCCTACACCTCAAGTCCCTATAATGGAGGGACGGGAAATGCAAATGTTTTCATGAATCAAAGTCAGGGAAATAACACCATTTCCTCATCCACAAATCTACAACAGAATAACTACAATGCCTTGCCTTCGGTGAATAATCCACAAATGATGGGTACCTATGGTAACATGAATACCCCACAGGCTCTGCAACCACAGTATATGCCAACGGGAAGTTCAGTTTACAATACATCAGCTGCAACAATGTCTCAACAAATGCCTGTGGCCTATACCCAGGCCTATTCCTCTTCATCGGCGGCCTCCAGTGCTGGCAATTCAACCCAAATGTATAGTCAACCCGTTGTCACCACAGCTACCACAACTGCAACACCGCAGCAATATTTGTATGGAACCACAGCAAATTATCAGCAAAACCCAACCTTACCCAACAACAACAACTTCAACCAATCCCCTGCCCCAAACAACATTAGCAACACAAATGTACCTCCCAGTCAACCATTGTATGTGGCCACCAATCCAATTGTACCACCACCTTCAATGCAAGCTCCATATATTGTAAATAATCAACTTCAAGGAACTCAGCCTTTGCAACAATTTCAGGCTGGTGGTCAGCCAGTAAATCAAAATATGCCTGGGCAAAACATTAATCCCCCCATAAACAATGCCATCCCTTCAAGTCAGCAACATCAACAGCAAATGATGACACCAGCATCATCAGGTGTCTCGGGACAAACAAACAATTTCTCCAACATGCCTTTGGTGGCGAACAATTTACCAAACCAAGGTGCACCTAATGTGATGGGAATGCCAGCGTTAGCTAATGGCCAATTTTCAACAGGTTCCAATTTAGCAGGTCAACCTGCCTATAATTTGACGGGCAATGCTTCTACCGTACCCCCTCAAACTCCAGCCAGTGGAGTAACAAACCCAGCGAATGCAGCTTCACCAGCAGTTAACACAACTCAAGCTAACACTACAACTACTGGCGGAGCCTTGAGGAAGACATCTTCGTCCACAATGCATCCTGGCTATAGTTATAATCCACAGAGTGGTACATTTGATTATGGCAGTGGTTATCATCAGGCAGCCCCCAATAATCAACCCTTCTATGGCCAATATACTACCGGGGCTCAACCCATCAATTCACAGGTGGGCACAACAGATTCACAAAGTTCGGGGAAAATCAATTTATCCACTGGATTTGATGTAAGTATTTTTTTCCTCAACTGCGTATTTGTATTAATTTATCAATTTTCCAGGCCCCCATAATTTCGCACACCAAGACCAGTGGCCCGGCCATTAAACCAGACGTTGTAAAGCCGACAAATGAAAGTTATTATAATCCACCCTATGGTTATAAGAAGAACAGTGTTGATGCCCCAACACCCAATCCCCAGACACCAACAACAAATACCCCCATGCAACCGGCTACCAGTCAACCAGCAATAAACTATGCAATGCCACAGCAAAATTTCTATCCTCAACAACAACAGTCGGCAACATATATACAAAGTGGTATGGGTACTACGGCTAATACCCAAACCACCAAGAGTGTCAATACCTATGCCACAAGTAGCCAGCATACACCGGCAACACCTAAACACCAAGGAGAACAGCAACAGTCACCTATGCAGCAGCCACCAGTGCAGCAACCACCCTTGCAGCCAACAAATGTCACACCTAAAACTTCTAAACCAGCACCCACACCACAGCCGGCCAAGGCAGCTCCGAAAACATCCAACATTGATTTGTTGTCGGACATAGATTTCTCTGGAGCCATGGCTGTACCACCACCAATATTACCGGAGCCTGTGTTGAAACCAGTGGTTGTCAATAGTCCACCGGCCAGCCAGGTGGCAGCTGAAACGCCACCTAGCAAGCCAACATTAGCTACAGAAGTGATCACCCCAGAGGTTGTGGAAAAGTCTAAACATGTTGCGGTATGTTTGAATAGTTGCACGGAGCCCCAAAAGGAAATGTCTTTGTTGCATTGAGGGCTCAGGTTCTTAGAGATAGTCTTCTGTAGATATAAACTACTCAGAAATGGGTCTTCCGTAAATTTAAGGTTTCTAGGACCCCTAGCCTTCTGGTATTCATAGAAAACTTTTAGAGGCATTTTAGTGATAGGAAGTAACCCTTTAATGGCCCTGAAGATTTTTTTCTTAAAAGCAGTAAACTTCTAGAGGTATTCCATAAAAGGTGATCTTTTGACAAACTCCTTAAGTAGAAGTAATCCTGGGGTCATTTCTCTTTACTTTGAAAAATTTTAAGACGACCTGTATTCTTATGAGTTCTTATGCGTCCTGTTAGCTTATGCTTCAGCGTTTTTCTAGTAGCAGACGACCTTCTTTTTGTTCTATTCTAATTATTTTATTTAAAAATCTCCTTTCCAGGACTATGTCAATTCTCTAACAACCACTCCCATGGATTTAACATCTCCCGTTGATTCGCCAGCAGTGCGCAAAGCCAGTTTCGATAATCTTTCCAATTGTTCCGATCTAAGCTCCTTGGATAATTTCGATTGGGATTCCACCTCAATGCGCAGCACAGACAAACACTTCAATGTGGGTGACAAACATTCCATAATTTCTTCGGCCAATTCCACATTCCAAATGAAACCAATTGATCCCTTTACCGATGATAAAACTCTAAAATATTTCCACAAAGAAGTGGAACGTTTTGAAAAGATTGTCGATTCTTTAAATGTCAAAATGTTAAATGGTCATACAACATTGTCAACGAAGTGGAAGGAACTGCATGATCTACTGGCCAAAGATGCCAGCAGTCGTAGTACAACAATAGCAAAATTGTTCCCAGAAAAGAATCGTTCTTTGGATTGTCTGCCCTATGATCATGCTCGTGTTAAATTGGACAAGGAGACTGATGATTATATAAATGCTGCCTACATAAAGGTAGGGTGGTAGATTTTCGTGCGATTTCGAAGTTAAGTTCAATTTTTGTTTTCCATTTTTTTAGAACCTTGGCAGTGGTTGTCCCAATTTGATAATTGCCCAGACTCCCCAGCAGAATACCATCAATGATTTTTGGTCTATGGTGTGGTCACAAAAGGCCCGCACTGTGCTCTGTTTGCATACACCAAATGAGGTAAGTAAAAAGGGGATGGATTTCTCTAATAATAAATAAACGTTGTTTTGAGACCGACAATTTTGCAACAACAAATTAATTAATGCCCACTCTGTTCGATTTTTGTAATATTAATTTTTTCTTTTTCCTCTAGATGTTGGATCCATTTTGGCCCCAAACCCTGGACAAAGAATCCCATTTTGACGATTACACCGTGAAATGTGTGAAAATAATACAATTATCCCATTGTGTGGAATATCAATTGAACTTGAGTATGTTGGGCTCTGATGTCATCATACAATTGGCCATACTACAAATAAAGCAATGGACTAAGAGGTTACTCCGAATTGCAAATTTTTTTTTTCAATTAAATATTTAATTTTTTTTTTTCAATTTACAGCACACCCTCCATGGTTGTGGGCATTGCTCGTAATGCCGCACAGGCCCATCAACAGCGTTGTATGGATTTCAATGACCCTCAATCACCATTGATTATGAATTGCTTGACAGGTTCGGAGAGATCCGAATTGGTGGCTGTGGCCATTTGTGCAATTTTGGCCACCCAGAATAAGCGACCAGTTCTCATTAGTAAGGCAGCAATGTTAGATTTTAAAGACCATTATTTAATACCAATTTTTATTGCAGATGTCGTTGATGTTTGGCATCGAATTTGCCAGCAACGCCAACAGGCCTTGAGAGATATCGAAACATTGGAGGAGTCTTTGCAAATTGTTTTAAATCATGCCCATGATGTACTCAACAAACGTATGTGAAAATGCAGTTTCAAGAAATTTAGTGGATAATAATTATTTTTATACCTCTAGGTGGCATCATGACTTCATATCAAATGAAGATTGCACCACAGGTTACCGCCCAGGAAAAGCAGGCCACTAAAGATCCCCTAAACGATTTGGATGCATTGTGGAAATTGAAATCATAATTACACGAAATGGAAAAATTCCACAAAAGCAGCAGAGTACAGACTTGAGCAAATAACTAAACTATTTTATATGTGTATTAATGAACAAACTGACTTTAGAATTTGAAAAAGAAAACCTCCCCCCTTCTAAAGGCCTTTGTGAGGAAAATGTTACAGAGAAGAAAAAAACAAAACAACTAATTGTTTAACATTTTTTTTATTATCATTGGAAACGTTTCAGAAACATAAAATATATTTAAACGAAAAATGACTACAAGGCCAATGTGAGGTCGGCCAAGTAAACTTTAAAGAAAGTCAAATCACAATGGTGATAAAACTTTAAAAGGTTTATTGGCAAAAGTAGTCTTCTTGCCCGACCTTATGTAGGCCTTGAACGACTATTATCTAAAAAATATATATGTATTATTGGAATTCATAACAAAAATGAAAACTAAAAAAGAAATTGTTAAACTTCTATGAAAAATGAAAAGTATTTATAACCTTAGAATTTCATTATTGATCTTTATTATCATTTATATATCTCTTTTGAAAAACAAAAAATACCCATCCACGTTGATAAAAAAAATCTCTATATACTTGCATATACATAGCTATATTATATTCTTTATATATTTTCAAATTATATTCATATATAAAATTATATTACCAAATTGGACATGGCACGTTTAGAAACATATATATTACACACACACCCCCAAATACCATTATACATACATTCAAATAAATAAAACTTATTGAAAAATTGGAAATTAAGATGGAGGGGAGTTTCACTTGAACGGGAAAGTTTCGATGCAAAAATTTGAAGACTGATTTTTTATAACTGAGCCTTTGTCACCCGAAATAAGGGGGGCAAATTCTCTCATTCGATATGAAATGAATCGAATCGATCGAAATAATTTTTTTTCATGATCATTTTTGATCGATAAAAATTAACCTCAATTTCAAAATTTTTTCGATATCGCATAAAAGAATTTGCGCCGCAACTAGTTATTTTTTGTTGTTGTAACAGTAGTACATGTAAGTGTTTACGTTCTGCTAATCTGGTTCAAGCTCCAGGTTTAACAATTCGGATTCTTTAAAGGGCTTTAAGCGGAGATCTTCTGGAATGAGTTGGGTAGGTTTGGCTGTGCAATTAAAGAGGTGCAGCGCATTGTGCGGGCCTGTATCACACGGCAGGCAGACGTCACGCACATCTTCGTCAATTCGTGTCCAATACGAATTTAGACGACTACACCATCCTGAACGTAATTGCGTCAAAACTGCCCTGGTTTGTCTAGGGAACCGACGTTTTTCAGCTGCAATGGATAAGGTGGGGGTGAACTCCGAGGACGGCATTCATTTTATAACTGTTAATAGCATCCGCGTCGGTATGAATGCCAGTCAGACCTGCCTGATAAGCTTCTTGATCTAGAGGTTCTCTCTTATAGCGTTGGACCTCCCTCTCTTCTTTGTAGAGAGGCTAGAGAGGGTATATATCATTTGATACGGCCAAAATGTGCCTCATAGAAATAACGGTTTTAGAACCTAAGTCTCTTTCAGGATATCCTTCGGGCACCTCCCACACAAAATGTCAACATTTTCAAAGAAAATAATTTGCTGCACAGAAAGAGAAAGTATAATCCCATTTTGCTTCAACTTTGCAAATCCTAATATTTCCATCAGTGCTAGGTCAAGTGCGAAAATGGACAATACCGGTCCAGTCCTTCTAGTACCTCCCCCACAAAGGGTCAAAATTTTGAATAATTATAATTCTTATAAAATGTGATGTAAGAGTCCGATTATCTTCAAATTACACACATCACAATATTTTTATTAATCCAAAGGTCTGCTGTTAAGATGGATAATATCGGTCGCCTCCTTCTGCCCTTCCCCACAAAAAGTCGTAATTAAAAAAAAATATATATTTTTTGCACAGAAAGAGAAAACATAGTCCGATTTTGTTTCACTTTTCCAAATTCCAATATTTGCGTCAGTGCTAGATCAGGTGTGAAAATGGACAATATCGGTCCACTCCATGAAGTACCTCCCCCACAAAGGGTAACAATTTTGAATAATAATAACTCTTATAAAATGTGATGTAAAACTCCGATTGTCATCAAATTACACACATCACAATATTTTTATTTACCCAATGTCTGGTGTCGGTCCACTCCTTCTGATACCTCCCCCACAAAGGATCAAAATTTTGAATATTCATGAAGCTCATAAAACACGAAATTAACACCCGATTCCATTAAGACTTGGCACATCTCAATATTTCCATCAACACAAGATCAGCTAAAAAGATGGTAGAGATCGGACCATTCCCTCTGGTATCTCCCCCTCAAAGGGTCAAAGTTTTGAATAACCAAAACGACCATAAAATCAGAAATAAGCATCCGGTTCTCTTCAAATTTCACATATCACAATATTTTCATTTACTCAAGGTCTGGTGTGAAGATGGAATATATCGGTCCACTCCTTTTGGTACCTCCGCCGCAAAGGGTCAAAATTTTGAATCCGATTACATTCAGACTTGGTACAACTCAATATTTCTATCAACCCTTCCTCTGCCTTTCTGGCTACGTTTTTTGGATATTTTTTTGATATTTTCAGAATCTGCTCTGAAGAAAATTAAATTTTTTTACTGCGACTCTCACCCCCGAAATGTTGCGGACGGCATTTCTGGCATTGTCGGAACTTGTAATGAGTTCATTTGTTGGAACTTTTTTTTCTAACATTTCCAAAAAAATTAAAACAAAAATTTCTTTTTAAAATTTTTTTATTTAACATTTTTTTTTTGTTAATTTTACTAAATTGTTGTTGTTGTTTTTGGTTTTAGTTGTTGTCGTTTATTTTTAGTTTGTTTGTTTGTTTACACAACTACAATCATGAAAAATATATCTAAAAAAATTACATTTAAAAATTGTGTTGTTTTTTTTTTTTTGTTTTTATTTTGGTTTTCAATTTTTCATTAGTTATTTGCAAATTTATTAACGTTATCTTTTGTTGTTGTTGTATTTCATAGTTATGGTTGTGAGTTGCTGCCGTTTAGTGGTTAATGCCTTTAACACTGAGCAAACATTTAACTATTTTGTTGTGTTTTTCTTTTCTTTGTTGTATTTACTTAAAAAATAAATTAATTAGCGCACCAATGTAAATTATTTTTTATTTATTTTTATTTTTTTCAATTCTGGCATCATCTTTGTCCCCTTAAACTTTACACATTTAAATAAAAAAGCAGTCTAATTGCAAACAATTGGTTTCATTTATTTTTTTTTTCGTTTTGTTTGGGTTTTGGCCTTTAAAATGTTTTTGTTTTTTTTTTTATTTAAATAAATAATTTACACAAAATTTTGTCGTTTTTCACGTTTTTTTTTTCATAGATGCATGTTTTGAGATTTAAAAAAAAAATAATAAAATCGAAATAATACACCTGTATCCAAAAAAAAATTTGATGGGCCCAATTTTTCCCACAGGACTAGTTTTGGAGTTGGGCTGCCTGTTACCTTTTGTTTGGGGTGTTATACCCCTTTTTTTTTCTTTTCAAAAAAATATTTTTTTATTTTGTTTTTATAATACTTAAATTATTATAACAAATCACAGTACATAATGTAGCATTTTTTTCCATTATTCTTCAAGCCTTGTAAAAAATAATAAAAAAAATTGGCTTTTATTTATAGAGAAAAAATATTCAAAAATAATTTACATAGTTTTTAGACATTTTTAGAATTTATGTTTTTTTGTTTATATAAAAAATAGAGTTATATAAAAAATATTAAAGGGGAATCATAACAATACTTAGGATGTTTTATAGATATATATATATATAACAGTCATGGAAGCAAAATATAAAAATTTTGGGGGTATTTAAAACTAGAATATACAATATTCGAGTTATATATAAAAAAACTTAGACTTAAAAGGCTGCCAAATTTTATATAATATTAAAAAATACTAACAAATTGTCATGATAATTTCCATAAAAAAATCTTCAAAAAATTGACTGAGGACCCCTTCTACCTGTAGAAGACGTATTCTTACTCAGAGTCATGATTTTTATTAAAAACTCTCCAAAAATTTAGCTTAATGAAGACCCCTTCTACCCAAAGAAGACTGTAGACTTCTTCTGACTCTTAGCTAAATTCCGAATCTCATTGCTGAGAAAACTCAAACCAAATATATTAAATAATAAAATGATATCCCGAAGACCCCTTCTACCTGTAGAAGGCTTAAAAAAGAACCAGTAAAGAAAGTCTTAAAGTCGGGCGGCCCCAATTTTATGATACCCTACACCACTTTGCATATTTAGTAATTTAAAGTCCAAAGGATCTAATATATAAGAGGAATATCCTCCTCCGAATCGATTTCTACAAAACTTGCCGAGTTATTTATGCCTTTTCAATTCGGGCTTATATTACCCATTTGGTGCACAATTAACTTGAAATCGCATAGAGATATACATGAGAGCTATATCCAAATCTGAAGCGATCTCGATAAAATTTGGCAAAGACATTTATGATCTGTATTTGATATGTTTACCCAAATATCGTTGTAACAGAGTCCATATTACGGCTGGGGAGAACGAAAATAATAGATTGGTTAAACAATATATATGGGAGCTATAGCTATATCTGAACCGATTTTGGCATACTCGTTTCTATGCTCAATTTGGTCATAAGTGCCAAATTCCATCCCATATGGGTTAATATTACACATTTGGTGCACAATAAAAGCAAATCGGACGAATATATATATGGAAGCTATATCTAAATTTTGAACGATGGGGTTCGTCCTTGGCTCAAACAAATGACTTGTGGAAAATTTTCGTGAGCTCTTTTCTGGACTGCTAATCTGGACCCTCTTCAATGTCCAAATTTTGGGGAGTAAGCTACTCTTATGGACTGATGTCAAAGATCCTCTGGTGTTAGTTGGGTAGGTTTGGCAGGTCTATGAAAAATATGTAGAGTTGGACAGTGGTGTTTTACCGTGGGGACAAAATGGGGACAATAGAGAAAGTTGCCTTTTCTATTCGCCTTGGCTGGCATATTTGCCTGGCTTCAGTAGCTGGAACACACTGCCCTCATCCTTGTTTCCTAGTCCAACCAACAGCTAAAAAATTAATTCCTAAACCCCCTTCTACCTGTAGAAGACTTTTTCCTTCTCATGACTAATTTCGAGAGCTCTTTTCTGGACTGCAAATCTGGTCCTGCTTCAATGTTCAAATGTAGAAAGTCAGCTACTCTTATGGGCTTATGTCCAAGATCTTCTGAAGTAAGCTGGGTAGGTTTGGCGGGGCAAAAAGATGCAGAGTTGAATAGTGGCAGAGTAAGTGCTCTACCATTTCACTTTTTGCCTTTGCCGACATCTTTGCCTGGCTTCAGTAGCTGGACCACGCTGCCCTTGATCCCTTGTCGAACCGACAGCTAAAAAATGAATTCCTAAAACCCCTTCTATCTGTAGAAGACTTCTTTCTACTCATAGTTAATTTCGAGAGCTCTTTTCTGGACTGTTAATCTGGTCCTGCTTCATTGTCCAAATTTTGGAGAGTAAGCTACTCTTATGGGCTGCTGCCAAAGATCATCTGGAGTGGGCTGGGTTGGTTAAGCGATTCGCCTTTGCAGGCATATTTGCCTGGCTTCAGTAGCTGGACCACGCTGCCCTTGATTCCTTGTCGAACCAACAGCTAAAAAATTAATTCCTAGAGACCCCTTCTACCTGTAGAAGACTTCTTCCTACTCATGGCCAATTTTGGGAGCTTTTTTCTGGCATCTTTGCCTGGCTTCAGCAGCTGGACCACCCTGCCCATGTCCACCCAACAGCTGCCTCATAAATGTTTTACAAATTAAAGTGAAAAAAACGAAATAAATAAATAAAAAAATCAAATCCTAAGCCCCGGCTAAGCGCTGTCGTATAAAACCCACTACATCTACTTGTTCCTTGCTATCTTTTCGTATTGTATTCAAACATAATCTTTAGGTTTCTTTGCTTGTTTGTTTTTGTCCTTAATCCTTTACGTCATATCAAAAAAACAACTGCGGTTAGTCACAACATCTGACACATAGTAGTAGTAGTAGTAATAGTAGTGGTAGTAGCATTAGAATATCTCTCTTTTTACACACACACATATGTATATATATAGTAAATGTAGTATTTTAGACATTTGCAACACATATGGGTTGCATATATATGTATATACAAGTGGACCTCTACCTGTAGGTTTGCATTGTAAAAAAACACTTAGAAAATAAACACCTTAGAGGACATCATTATCATCGTGGAGAAAAATATAATACAAATTCTTGTTGAAGCTGTCATCGTCGTGTAGGTCATATTTTTTGTTATATTCCATGGCACAAACAAAAAACACACAGCTTGGGAGGATTTTCAGTAGTTCATAATGTTTTTCGTTTTGTTCTTCTCCAATTCCAAAAAGCATGGTCAAGGGTTTGTAAATTAGTAGACAACGTGACATAATAAAAATAACGTTTAAAAAACCCATCGTTGGTGCTCATCACCCTGTGACATTGCCAACTCCTCCTCCTTCTCCTCCTCCACTTTATGTCCATCATCTCTTGTTACTGTTATCAGCTTGCAAATCTATTTCACTTAGCAGCGCCCAATTTTCGCTATCCCCATGCACATGTAAACGTATTTCCTTGATGGCCCCAATTTTCACATCCAGCGAACCCTCGGCCACACCCATATTATCAAATGATCCCACTATCAGATAACCATCTGTTGTGGAATTATATGAACTCCAGACCCCAGAGCTTTCACTCAATGTATCGGCGGGTAGAATTTCAACAGTTGTATTATAAAAACGATCCGAAGGATGTTCTGAATTGCCACTGCGAAACAGATAATGCTTCAGCAATGTGGGTTTTTCAAAAATAAACTGCACCAAATCGCCGGGTTGTGGCAGAAGGCCCCAGAAATAGGTCTCACCACGATATGCCCTTTTTAATTGGTAATTTTTGTAGGGCGAAATATTCGTTTTCACCTGCGCCGGAGGATTATGATTGTGGGCATAAAATGTGGGCACCTTTGAGCCAAATTGTTTGTCCTTGAGCTTTTGCACTTTTCCCTTGAGCGATGAGCTTGTACCAATATGCTGGAACAGTGAGGGTCTATAGTGCAGCCAATATTTGGCCTTCTCCTGGTTGCAATGCTTCTGATCGAGATCATTACGGCACACCTTTGATTCCATGAAATAGGCTAACAGCCAATCGACTGGTTTGTCATTGTAAAACATTTGGAAATACGTTATGAGATAAGGCAATTCGGCCGATTTGAACATTTTCCCTATGAAACCCAATTGGCAAAAGTCTAGCAGGAACCAGGGCGGCTGATCCGGTTTGGTCAAAGCGCTTTTTGTGATGGCAAACTTTTTCATTGTCGTTATAAAGTGGCGTTTAGCCAGAATGTCATCTTCAAGTTGGACATAAAATGTGCCTGGAATAAAAAAGAGAGGGAGGGAAAGAGAGAGAGAGAAAACAAAAGAGAATTAATTAAACCTTTTCGACTTAAATTGAGAAATTCCTAACGAAAATTTCATTCCTGTCCAGCCAGGCTTAATTAAAAAATATCTATAAAAATGTCCAATCCATCCGAAGGGCTGAACTGAACATTTTTTAAAGAAAATCCTCAAATTCAGCCAGGGGGCTGAATTGAAAATTTTCTAAAGAAAATCCTCAAATTCAGCCAGGGGGCTGAATTGAAAATTTTCTAAAGAAAATCCTCTGAATTGAAAATTTTCTAAAGAAAATCCTCAAATTCAGCCAAGGGGATGAATTGAAAATTTTCTAAAGAAAATCCTCAAATTCAGCCAAGGGGCTGAATTGAAAATTTTCTAAAGAAAATCCTCAAATTCAGCCAAGGGGCTGAATTGAAAATTTTCTAAAGAAAATCCTCAAATTCAGCCAAGGGGCTGAATTGAAAATTTTCTAAAGAAAATCCTCAAATTCAGCCAAGGGGCTGAATTGAAAATTTTCTAAAGAAAATCCTCAAATTCAGCCAAGGGGCTGAATTGAAAATTTTCTAAAGAAAATCCTCAAATTCAGCCAAGGGGCTGAATTGAAAATTTTCTAAAGAAAATCCTCAAATTCAGCCAAGGGGCTGAATTGAAAATTTTCTAAAGAAAATCCTCAAATTCAGCCAAGGGGCTGAATTGAAAATTTACTAAAGAAAATCCTCAAATTCAGCCAAGGGGCTGAATTGAAAATTTTCGAAAGAAAATCCTCAAATTTGTCTAAAGAAAATCCTTATTCATCCCGGCTGCATTGAAAATTTCCTATAGAAAATCCTCACATTCAGCCGAGGGGCTGAATTGAAAATTTTCTAAAGAAAATCCTCACATTCAGTCGAGGGGCTAAATTGAAAATTTCCTAAAGAAAATCCTCATTCAGCCTAGGCTGGATTAAGAATTTCTTCCATCCAAAACTGTTATAATTGAAATAAATTCGCTTTTTACCTTTCGTTTGCGCATAGGCCATTAAATAGGCAAAATCCAAATTCTGTTTACTTCTCCACTTGACCCTTTCCAACGAGTCGTTCAATGTTATTCTCAATTTATCAAAATTCGGATAATACGATGGCGAGGGGGCTATTATTTCTATGAGGCCACATTCGAGATAAGGCTCAAAGGCTATTTCCACACTTTTGGCTATGTTCTGTACATTCTCGGGCTCATTTTCGCCAATATAGACAATGATCAGAGTCTCATTCTGTTCCTCTTCGTTCATGTTTTCGATTAGATTGTGCAATGTACCCAAAAGATAGGATTGCTTTTCTCGCATTACCGTTGGTATGCCCAAGACAATGCTAACATCGGAACGTCCTCGGGAACGTAGTAAAGCGGGACGCAATGAATTTGGATCGTCGGAGAGATGGGGTAGGAAATGATAGGCGGTTGGCAGGCGTACATTTGAGGAGCCGGACAAATGCATTTGCTGGGAATGCAGTTGAGAGGCATTGCGGAGAATTTGTCGGGCCTCGGCGGAGAGGCCATCGAGCAGGGAGGCCGGGGCTGAGTTGATGAGGCTGGTGGAGTTCTTATCCAGCAAAGCGGGAGCAGGAGGAGCAGCAGCTGGTATGGCCGTAACACCATTGCTGGTATTCTGTAGTTGTATGAGATATTGCGACAGCAGGGCAACATCCTCCTGACGCGTCCTATACATCGTCTCCAGATACTGCAGACGCATGTGACACTCACCCAAACGTTGTGACAACGCCTGTTCGGTGGATAGCTCTGGACCCATTAGCATTAGTACAATAACACATGGCAACAAAATTAAGACTAAGGTCAATAAAAGACAGCTACGTTGGCGTATTTTAAACATTGTTTTCCGTTGTCGATTTTCCGTTTTTTGTTTAAACAAAAAGATTTGTTAAATAAATAATACAAAAATAAAGAGAGCGTTTAATGAATGGTTTCGTTTTCAATATGGCAAAGGCAGCGGCGGCGGCGGCACAACGACTTTCAATTGTGGACTGTGGCGTTGCAGGGAGTAGAGGAAAAACGTAATTTTGCCAAAATGGGAATTTTTGTTTGGTGAGAGAATTGGTTTTAATTTTTTTCTTCTTGTCCTTATCTTTCGAGTAAAAATTGTTTTTAAAAGTTTTTCGTTTGTTACGTTGTATAGTTGTAGATTTTTAGTTTCCTTTTTTGTTTCGATATTTATGTAGACAATGTAAAGATGGCAGAAAAATATATGTAAATTATTTTTTGTTTAAGGTTAAATTCATTCATGGCTTTGTCGTCGTCCAACAACAATCATCGAAGACTTATCCTTCTTAGAGTTTTATAAACATTTTGGTATTGCAAAGCTGTTGTTTTGTTGAGTTTGTGTAGTTTCAGCAATCCCCTTTAGGTTTAATTGATGAGTAGCGTCGCGAGTAGCCGGGTTTCTTAGTTCTAGTCCTTTTTGCTTATAAAATATAGAATTATCTGCTAGTTTGTAGTCAAAATTTCCTTTTCGTTGAGTTTGTTTATTTTGTTATATTTTCGCACAGTGCGATTTTTGTGTTTGTTTAGCTATTTATTAAGCAATATTGAAATAAACAATTCCATCTCAACAATTCCATTTGTTGCGGCTGCTGAATCATTCAAAATAGTTTGCTGTTGCAGCGTTGTCATGGCATTGGCGCTCTCTGGAATGATATTGAAAAAATGAAAAACATAATTAAATAAATTAATCTTTTAAGCTTCAATAATTCGAAATATTAGATAATTCTAAGATTTTAAATTCTCAGCTATAAGCATGACTTGAATAATAAGCTTGCATGATGGTGATTTTCTATGAAAATTTCGAACGAGGATAAATCAAAGCAACTCCTCCGCGGCTTACTAGAAAGTTCTTTATCAACATTTCAATTGACCTGCCTAGGCCGAATGCGAGGATTTTCTATAAAAAAATATCCAATTCAGCCCCACCACTGAGTTTGAGGATTTTCTATAAAAAAATGTCCAATTCAGCCCCACAGCTGAATGTAAGGATTTTCTATAAAAAAAAATTAAATCCATCCCCACGGCTCTTAGTTAAAACAATTTTTTTTTCATGTGTATAACAGTTTTATAACAGGCGTACAACTATTATATTTTCACCCCAACTATGATACACCAAAACTCCATTAAAATACAAAATAAGTGTTTTGTAAAACTGTTATACAACTTAAATATTCTTCTAAATAATGTCGAACAGTAGTAGCATTCAAAATATACCAAAATACATACATTTTGCAGTGTATAACAGTTATGTGAAACTGTTATACTGGCACCAAATTGTTGTAATTACAAAAGAATCAAAAAATTTGGCCAAGCTACTATAACATGTTTGAAAACTGTTACAGAAAATTTCACTGTAACTATGATACCCAAAACTCCATAAAAATACACCTATTTTAGTGTGTATAACAGTTTTGTAAAACTGTTTTACAACTTAAATATTCTTCTAAATAGTGTCGAACAGTAGTAGCATTCAAAATATATTAAAATACATAAATTTTGCAGTGTATAACAGTTATGTAAATCTGTTATACTAGCACCAAATTGTTGTAATAATAAGAGAATCTTAAATTTTGGACAAATCACGGTAACATGTTTGAAAACTGTTATTGAAAATTTTATTTCGGCCGCCTCGACTGAATGTGAAGATTTTCGTTTGGAAGTTTTCAGTTCAGCCCCACGGCCCTTAGTTAAAATACAGTTTTTTTCATGCGTACAATAGTTTTTTAACATGTGTACAACTATCATACCCCCACTGCAACTATAATACCCAAAACTTCATCAAAATACACCTATTTTAGTGTGTATAACACTTTTGTAAAACTGTTATACAACTAATATACTATTCTAAATTATGTCGAACAGCAGTAGCATTCAAAATACATCAAATTATATATATTTTGCAGTGTATAACAGTTATGTGAAACTGTTATACTGGCACCAAATTGTTGTAATAACAAAAGAATCCACAAATTTCATCAAAAATAATTAAATGCACACATTTTCATATCGATAACATGTTTGAAAACTGTTATAGAAAATTTTCATATCGGCCGCCCAGACTGAATTTGGGGATTTTCGTTAGAAAATTTTCAATTCAACAGCCTCAGTTGAATGTGGGGACTTTCGTTAGGAAATTTTCAATTCAGCTCTTTAGTAGAATGCGAGAATTTTCGTTAGGAAATTTTCAATTCTAAAATGCGGAAATGTACAATACAGTCCCACGGCTAAAGGAGGACTTTTTATGAAAAAAATTCAATTCGGCCTCGACTGAACATAATTTTTATATTAAAATTTATATCTTAAGAGGAAATCCTATGTTAATTTTCCACTTTTCGCAAAGTTAATTATCACACGCACATACTTCTGCTATTAAATCGCTGTCTCTAATTGCCGGTTAATCCAGAGACATGACAATTTTGTTGTTGTTGTTGTTAATTTTTGTTGTTATTCTAATTCAAAACACACATCAAATGTGTTACTAATTAATGTCAAACGTCAAACAGAGCAAGGAGGTAACACGCTCGTTGAATCACGCCAATAATAAAGTCGTCGAACACACACTCACACGCACACACACGCGATTATTTATGATTTGCAGTTGGACATTTGTAATTTTCAAAACGATTCAATCTGAATGAAGCGTTCAATTGCGCTTTATCTCCTAACTGACCGCACTTAGGCTTTGCTTTTGTTATTTTTTTCTCTCACAATAAATTAATGTCGTCGCTCTGTTAGTCAGATAGATTGTCCCGACGTTTGTTATGCGATGGCTTGTGACACTGGGAACGCATAATAACGACGCTATTCACATGACCGGCTTGTGGAGGAGACCGTGTAGAACTAAGTTCAGTTGCCTAGATAGAATTGAACGTTTTGAGTTCAAAACGTCGTCGCCTTCGTCGTTTTCCACAATAATGACGACAACAACAACAACAATGGCAACAACTTGTGTGTGTTGGAGATACACTTGCTCTTGTCTTGTCAACAAATGTGGAAATACATTTGGTTTGCAATGAATAGACAGCCACATAGATGAATGAACGAAGCGGGTCCTCCTCCTTAGCGGCAGGTATGAGGGGCACGTTTTGATATTTTTCCCTCTTCCTTTCTTGTCCAGCACATTTAACAATCACGGCTATTAAAATTAATTAACTTATAGTTTGTGTTTTTTTTTTCTTCGTTTAATTTTCTACTCTTTGGGTTCCGTTTATATTCTTTCATTGGCGGGTTTTCTTTGGCCATGCAATTCGTAATAATTGCATGGGGTCCAATCGATGTGGGGTGCTCTTAATTTGGGGGATATGGTTAAGGGTATCATGCAAAAGGTTTGCAACCTATAAATAGTTAAAGCAAAAACAAAAGGTATGGCGGGAATAAACAAAAGAGGCAGAACTGAAGGATATTAGGAAATACAAACACACAAGGAAAACAATTAGGAAAAGTGAAAACGGCATTGGGCAGTGCAAAAAAAGTAGAAAAATATATGCCCTACAGCAGGGGAGAAATATAATAATCCAAATTAAAAATATTTTGAAAGTTATCCCTTCGCTCTAAAAATTGTTTCCTTGTCCCGATTCACACGCAAAAATTCCGCAGGAAAAGTAAATTTCTCGTGAGAAAAAAATTGGAGTAGATCAAGGTTCATTTAAAATTTCTGATGGTCCTCTCCTACAAAAACCTGTATATAACAGTTTTTTAAGTCTTATACAACTATCATAGCCTTACACAAACAATGATACCCAAATTCGCATCAAGAATATACACATTTTTGTGAGTATAACAGTTTTGTGAAACTGTTATACAACTGATATACTCTTCTAAATGATGTCGTACAGCAGTAGCATTCAAAAAATATCAAAATACATAAGTTTTGTAGAGTATAACAGTTATGTGAAACTGTTATACTGGTACCAAATTAATGTAATGACAAAAGGATCTAAAAATCTCAACCAAAAATAGTTAAATGTACACATTTTCAGATGGATAACATGTTTGAAAAACTGTTATACCGATGCAAAAATTTTAAACTCTTACAAGTTCGATGCTATAGTTACATGCAAACATTTTCATTTAGAGTATTTTTTGGAAGAAGTCCGTTTGCTTTCCTAGTAAGAATCGAGTCTTTTTAGGAAATATATCAGGCATTTCCTGCAGGTCCTCTACAAATTAAGCAGTAAAGGAGCTCTCTTCGAAAACGGTCGTTTGTAGGGAAAGTTAAAATCGAACCGTTTAAAGCAAAGGTTTTTTGAAAATCGTGGTTTCATCGCACGTATCCTACGTCAGACACCGAAAATTTTCCATTATTAACCGCTCATAAGAATAAACACAATATCACTGTTATTTTCCCTGCCCTGCATCCGCCCTTGATAGGCACAATTAATAAAAGCAACAATATATGGATAGAGAGATATGAGCAACACATCATTCGAGAGTCACAGTTTTTTTCCAGTTGTCATTGTGCTGCATGGCGGAAAGTAGTAGCATTTATGTTGCTACGGGGGCCATTCATTATTCGCCGCGCATTTCATTCTGATATGTCAAAGACACATGTGGTCTTCTGGCACACAGACACATTAACGTCTGCCTCCTTTGTGGAGACATTTCTATTATATTTATTTCATATGGAAGACAACAATAACAGCAACGACAACAAGTCAAATGCAAAGAAGGGCGAAGGTTATGATAGATAGTTAAACAGGCAAAAGGAAAACAACAATAGCAGCAACATTGTTTGTTTGCTTGCTTGCTTTTCCCTTGTTTGTTTTCTGCCAACTTCTAAGCTTACAAAACTAATTCCGCCCATTATTTATCCATTATATAGGAGACGGTCGTCTATAGAACTTTGGTGGCAGAAGCAAGGGAAAGGCCGTAAAGGAAATACTTTATGTGAATGTACGTTTGCTTCCACACTGGCGAGAGGGGACTTTGTTTCCAATCAGACTTTTTTTGACTCTTTTAATCTTTGATCTATGGAAATTTAAAATTGTTACTATTAGATTAAGTCCTTGTGATTTTTCTGGTAATTTGGCAATGCATGTCAGCAGCAACGATAGGCTCAGTATCAGATTTCCATATGAGAACTTGGAGAAATGTAAAATGAAATAATTTAATTCTAATTTTAAATTATTGATTTGTTTTGAGCAATTTCTGCCTTGGCCAGTTGCTTAGTATGACAGAGGTAAATGCCATTGTCCTTGTGCATTGTCTACGTGGAAAAACAAAAGGTTTTAATGTCCACATAACCAAGTCTGTAACAGAAAAAAAATATTTATATTTTAATAGTGATATTGTTTTTCATGTTTTTCCTTCATTCTTTTTTAATCAACCATTGTTTTCAGAGTGTTGTTTTTTTAAATGATAAAATAGGAAACATGAAAAACAAATTCATGCTATCAAAAAAATTCCAAAATTAGTCAGAAAAAAAAACTAAACATGGAACTGATATTAAAATACAGCACGAAAAAAATTAAAAGCAATTCGATGTCATTAACAAAAATATACAAACATATGTATGTAGGTGCGAACCAATATTTCGAAACGAAATCGTTGATATCTTATATTGCACTCGGATGTTCCAAATATTTTCTAAAATGCACACTAAAGAGAGTACAAAAATTTCATAGAAAATCTTCAATTCAGCGCCCTCGGCTGAAATGTTGCAATTCAGCGCCTAGCTTAAATTTGAGAATTTTATGTAGAAAATATTCAATTCAGCACCACGGCTGAATGTGAGGATTTCTTCTAAACGGTCCGGTCCATTTACGCAGACAGCTTCCAGATAGATGAAGGCACTGGTACTGGCGTATTCTACTCTAACTCAATCATTAAACACTCTTTTAAGATCAATGATATTTGCAACGTTTTTTCAGGTGGAGATTCGAAAAGTCAGCATAACAGGACCAGTAGTAATTTTTGTACCCTTTCAAAAGACCATTTCAATGTTACTTTTCTGTGTACTTTGAACGACACCGGAGCTAACGTTTCCTATTAAAATTCAATCATTTAAAGGTTCATATAAGTAATTTTCAGGCAAACATCTGCCTCAAGAAGGCAGCCGAAAAGGTAAGAGAACTCTACAGCAAGAGGACCATAACAGCGCCCCTCAAACTTCAAGAAACTCCTTCTTAAAATACGTGAACTCATTATGCTTTGTTGGGCCACACGGCATAGGTATTTGAGAGGGAAATAAAATGGTTGACGTCGATTGATCTACATATTAAAGAGATCAAAACCATATGTAGGTTAGGTTAGGTTAAAGGATGAGCGTTTGTATCAACAACCTCTCCAATCGGAGACTAATTGGTCCATTGTGTTCATCGTAATTTAAGAAGATAGGAGAATAAAATAGGGAGGAAAGAAAGAAATGAATAACGGATAGTGAAGAAGCGAAAATCTGTTAAAGAGTAGAGAAGTTAATAGGTTTGCATCCACGGTGTATCAGCGTGTCGTCCTTAGCCATTTTAGCTTTCTGGCTAACTGAAGAATGACTGCTGGCTGTATGTCGGAGAGGGAGGACAAGTCTGGCAGAATTTGCTTACCCAGTAGCCTTTGTCTCACTCCTATAAGAGTTGGGCGTTGGTAGAGTAAGTGCTCCACCGTCTCAATTTCTTCCTCGTCCTGACAAGGACTGCAGTATTCAGTGTCGTCAAGAGGACTTTTAGAAATTTTTAACTAACTTTCATCTATTCCATTCTTTCTCAAAGGAAACTCACTTTTCCGGCAGATTTTTCAATTTTTTTTTAGAAAATTCTCATTTCAGAACTGTGTTAGCATTTTAGCCCCAGCTGAATGGGATTTTTTTCAGTCTCGGCTAAATGAAGCTTTCCAAGGAAAATTGCTATAAGACTTTCTATTTTTAATTCAATCATGCGGGATATGATTTTCCTTCGAAAATTTCCAAATGCATTATTTATTTATTTAGTTTTTGTTTAAAATTTTTGTTTATGTTTCAAATCTCAATATGTTTGCCATAAAAAATTAATGTGAATTTATCAAAACTAGAAAATAAATAAACAAATGTTAGGGAGGAGTTGGCATAAAAAAATTGTTCCAATTAATTTCACTCAATGGCCCAAGGCGGATGGATGGTGGGTGGTCTGGCAACAAATGAGGAGGAGGTGGGGTGGGTGGTGTATGGCGATTAAAACACATGAATGAATATCGATTTTCACTGCACGGCCAAGTGCTTTCAATGAAATGAATGCTTATCAGAAAGCAATTATCTTGGCAATTGGGTAAATTTAATTAATACAAGTCTAATCGCTGTAGATAGTAGTAATGTCCACAAACGCTGATGTTTGTTGTGTGTATACTTGGTAATGTTTATTAATCGTACGACGATGTCAATTACCTTTTTGGTTGGTTGAAGTGTGCGTTTGATATTTGATATAAATTACGACACTCCACCAATTAATTAATATACAAAATAAGCGACACACCACAACAACTACGGCACCAGTACCGGAAAACAATCAATTCGACTCATTATTTAATTACAACACATCATATGTCAATCTGATTAATCAGATATTGCATTTTATTATTATTTTTTCACACCATCAGCAACAACAATTTCACAAAAAAAAAAAAACGAAAAAAAGGAACTGGAATAGCGTTTTTTGTTTTTGCTTTTGTGATTTTGCAATAACCACCTACTTTTCATTTTTGTATCACACACTACTTTGCATTTCGTTATTTCATTTCGTCATTTTATTTTCTCTGGTCTTCATCTCGTTGCATGCTATTATTTAATATGCTCTACTTAATTTATTCCTATTTTATGTTATTACAATTTTTTTTTTATTTTTATTGCATTTATAATTTTATCGAAAAAATGTTTCAAACGATTCAATTAGCACAAACACATCTACACCAATACACTGAGAGTTGCGAATGAAGGAAAAGGCAACACAACGAATGTGTAGAAATTGAAGAGGCAACACACCGCAACAGATGTTGGTTCACTTAAGGAAAAGAGGAACAAGTGTCGAATATGTGTATTCACCGAATGAACCAATGGTTGTGTGTGAATTAGGGATACATAAGTCTACTTTCAATAGAATTGGTTTTCGACTTCCTTTCAATAATTCCAATACCACAGAGAAATAACAGAGAGTTGTTTTCTATCCATCATTCGTTTCTAAAACCTGTAAGAATCTACTAAAGGGCGAATTTTAAGCTGTCACTTTTTGGAAACACAGGTTTAAACAGCTGTGTCGATGCGACTACCTGCATTCTTCTACCATGGATCAGACAGAAGCATTGCAAAAGCTACCAACGTATCCGGAAAAAGTGTGGTTTGTGAATTGGTGGCATCATTGAACCGTATTTCTGCAAAGATCCTGCGAATAGTAACGTAACTATGAATGGTGAGTGCTAACGTAAGATGATATTTTATATTTTTTAGCCAAAATGTAAGAATATGAAGCTTTTTACTACGAAAATGAATTTTTCCTTTATGTTATTGAAAAAAATGCAAAACTAATAGGTTTACTAGGTTCTGGCACAGTTCACAGCATCTGTTTTTGTACTATTTTTTTCAATAAAAACAAAATATTTTCAAAATCAATGACTATCAATGACTGTTCCAGAACCGGAAAGAATCTACTAGTTTTGCAATTTTTCTCTGATATCATAAAGCGAAAATCAGTTATTGGAGTAAAAACTTGGACATTATTGCAGTTCTGGATAAGACTATATAGGTAAAATGCTTTTTATTTAAATGAGCTATAACAAATGTTTTTAAAAGATGAAAAAAGAATATAATAGCAATTTTCATTATTCTCTTCCCTCCATTTTTCTAAAAATATTGTCTTGTGTAAACGGTAAACACAGTGGAAATTCGACACACAAGGGTTCTATAGATCGAAAAAAAGAAGTCTCTAGGGCTTTGAAAGCAATTATCCTCACTTTTGTGATATCGATAATAATGCATCCATTAAAAATCGTTTTGCTACCTCAAAACCTAGTATCGACCCATTGTCATCACTACTTCAAAACGAACAACGCAAGCAAAGACAAGGAGCGTACAAGTGAAGAAAAAAATTAAATTTCTCCTTAAAAAAGCTACAAAATCGTTTAAAACTAGTGAATTTTATGGAAAATATCGTGTACATAATCTACAGTTTTTGTGTATTTTCGAAAAATTGACAAACGAAGGCTTGAAAAAAGCCAGTGAAAACGGAAAATATTTTTTTAGAAAGTTCACACAAAAAAAATTGATGAACTGAAGAAAAAAACAAAGATACATACGCACGCACACACACAGCCAGCCAGCTAGCCAGTGAATTGTGTATCGGTGGTGAAAAAGGTGTACTAAAAAGTAATAATTTTAGTACAAGCCATTTTTAGATGACAATTTATTGTTTGTTTTCGTCGTTTTTCAAAACAAAACACAATTTGTAAATGGCTTTTAAAGGTACACATATGAAATATATGTATGTACACAATGGAAAATAACAGCAAACCAATTCTGCAAAGTTCAATAAATTGTTCGAAGGTCAGTGCAAAAAGTGTTAAACACAATAAAAAAAGGTGTTACAAAGGCATAATAATAAGTAAACATGAAAACTAAACACAAAAAAGCAGCCATCTTTGAAGTAGCAACCACAACAAGAAAAAAAAAACAGGCATAAATATTGACGATAACAGAGTACAGCAAAAACCAGCTTCATATAACAACAAATAAATATGTGCATTGTGTGTGGTTGATGTTGCAATCAAATGTTGGTAGCAATCAACAATTTTTCTTATTTTCTCTCTCTCTCGCTCGAACACCCTTAACTTCAATATTCACTCATTGTGTATTTCTCTTCTTATTTTTAATACCTACCTTAATGTTTTGCGATTATTTTATGCCCCGCTTCACCCTTTTTTCCCTTTTTAACAAAAAAAAAAAAAAAAACGAAATAAAAAAATTGCTACCAACACACAAACAACCACAATAATAACAATAATAATGATTAAAAAACTGTGTTCCCTTCTTCCACCTCCCCGTACCGTAAATCGTTGTTTTGTGCTGTTATTGATGTGATAGTGCTGGAAAAAAATAGTACCAAATTTTGTACTATGAGTTTGTGTGGTTTTTACAATAACACCCCGAATTATGATTCAATACTGATTTCTTATTGAGTTGACGTAAATTTTTCAAAAAGAAACCCCTTAAATAAAAAGAGCTATATTGTAATGCAATGTTGACATTATTTTAGTTTTCCATGTTGTCCTATGAACAGTTCTCAAATAATTTAAAAGGGAGAGAAATAACTGTCTGTATTAATTCAACTTTCCCTTTGACATGTCAAATCATAGAGGAATGACAAACTCATGCCTGAATTTTGACGCCGTTACATGGTGTTTAGCTCTGGTCTTATAATTTGGCATGATAAATGATGCCAGTAAACAACTCTCTTGTGTCGTTCCCTTTGCTCTGTCAACTTTAGCATCAAACAAATAAGGCCCGATAGTACTTATCAAAAAAAAAGTCATAAATAAAACGCCGATTAATAATACGTACAATAAAGTACTACCAATTTTACCATCTCTGTTGTTTATTCTCCACCTTTTTATTATTACATTGTTTTTCATTCATCATCGTACACACAAACGAACGCGCGAGAGCACACACAATCATACAACAACGACGACGGCGACGAACGGGAGAAAAACAAGAAGTTGGGCAAAAAAAAGTTAAAACGCGTATTTAACCTACCACCTTTCTTCAAATTTTAAAACGCAGTAAGGATAAGGGATCGAGAGAACAAATCAATAGCCCCAAATAATTGAACTTAAAAGTAAAGAATAAAATTCACTAAGCGATTGGAGAGACTTAATACAAATGTGAGAAGCCCCGCAGTTTTAATTTCGTAGAAAAAAATTCAATTGTGATAAAAAGCAAAGAAAACCGAACGAATATTGACAACTACAAAGTAAAGTGTACAAAATAAAACAAAAAAGGATAATTGGAACGAAGTTAAAACATGGAAATTGCCTTAAATTCGGATACACCAGGAGGTTTCAAACATGAAAATGGTAAGTCCGACCACACATTTTCTTGTATCATAGCAAGTTTTCTAATAAAAATACCTTTTTATGTTAATACAAAGCGAGCGAAACATGTGTGTAACTCTTAAAACCAATAGGTTATCCGGGAGCCAACGTTAGTCAATGTGTATTGAATAAAATTGTGTAAATCAGGCGTATATGTAAATAAAATTGGAATTTCTTTGCTGGCCTGTCTATGAGGTTGTAGTAACAACAACGGCAGCAAATGCTATGCAAAGTAATGGACGTGACCTCCCACCTAGACCTATGAGTGAAAAAGAAGGCCACATAAATGTTGATTTATTTATTTATTTTTTATAGGTATTTTCTGTTCGTCCATACATCTGGTATCAATAATATCCGGCTATCAACTTGTCAGACTATATAAAAATTTGAATGATTCACAAGCAAAATCTATATGTTATTCAAAACACACCATTAATCTAAACATCTCGTTTTCAAGGGCTCGTCTCATGTGCGATGGCTTATCTCACATATAAATTATTGAATATCATTGTTGATTAATTTTCACACCAGAGGCAGTCGGGATAACAGATATTTCCATGGCGATTTTATAGTAGACATTCGATTCTCAGTTTGGAATAAGGTATACAAATATTTGAAAATATTTGAATAATCCCTATGTGTCAATCGTCCCAAACTGTGATATTTTCATATCAAATGACTCATTCAACATAGATTAATTTTTCATGGAATTTATTGTTCACACTATGTTGCTCATTGCTCACAAATAGCGAAACATTGATGAAGAGTCTATCAGATCTGCCTTTGGGGTCTATCAATGAATTTGGTATTAAAAAGTTAACATTATATCGCTGACTCGCATATCTTTAGCTTCAACAAAGAAGTGGTCCAACCTTTGAATATCTTTGCCTCACTGCTTGAAATTGGGACAAACGATCTAAGACTTAGCAGTTTAAGACGAAATTCAAGGCCCATCGAAATGTGCTACGCTTTGCCGCAGTAGACGGTAATTACGAGACCCTTAAAGGGCATGTAATTTAGATAGACGTTGTTTTTTTTATCCAAGTGACAGTCGCCAGAAGACAAAAATGGGTAAACTTCCACCATTTGGAACCGATGTATTGCAGATGTCTCCCTTTATTTAGAGCTCATGCAGAAAAAAAGCCAAATTACCCTTCTTTTTACCTTTTTTAAATTGTATTGGATAAAGGCAAAAAATGTCGGAAATAGCATCAAATTTTAGAATAAGTTTAGATTTGATCGAATTGGTCACCTTTGGCACGAATTATGGTCTTCAAACGGCCAATGAAACCGTCACACGCTGCCGCTCTTTTGGCCCATTTCCAGCGAAGCACTTGCTTGAGGTGATCGACACTTTGGTATTTCTTAGTGCCAACCTTGCTTTCCAAAATATTCCAGACACAATAGTCCAACGGATTGGTATCGGGAGAATTTGGTGGCCATTGTGCGCTGGAAATAAAGCGAGGAACCTCATTTTGTAACCATTCTTGGGTTGCGCGTGCTGAGTCCTCTTGGAATGTCCAAGGTCTGCGGCCAAAATTTTTCCGCGCCCAAAGCTGTAATACACCCTCCAGGATATTTCAATAAAAATCGGCATTTTTTCTGATACCATCATCGGCTGTTATGGCGGCCCACATCATCACCGTGGCCGGTGCTTGAGTTCCGGTGGCCATTAGACCGAAGGTGCATATTTTCAGCTGACCTCTTTGTCGCTTCTTTACTTTTCAAACCATTTCTGTTGATGTTGCTGTTTTCTTCCGACCACTTCCTTGACGTCGAGTATCACGATAACGAGCGATGGTACGAGACACAAAAGATTTATTCACATTTAAATGATGTCCTCTAACGATAGCCACTAGTGGTTTTCCACGCTTGAATTCCATCACGAATAACTTTGGAAAAAATTCTGGAAAATTCTCACCAAAATGCTCTTGTACGCTTGTAAACAATATAAGATGCTGTCTCAGGAATAATTTTAACAGCTGTCGGACGAGTGGCTTAGAAATGACAGCAGTCTGAAATTGGTTGCAGCATTTTCATCTCACCCAGTATACCTGTCCTCAACCACATAGTCCGTAGCAATCGAAACTGTTCTGTTCCCAGTTGGATATTAGTGTCACAATTTTGTCGTGGACCATATACCAGCCTTATATGGGACTTATGTAGGAACATTTTACAGGTTAGCCCATTTGATTTTGGAACCATGCCGCTTTGCCTCAATAAGGGAGATATTTTACCAAGTTCTAATAACATTTAAAGCTATTTTCCGCAAACATGGCTAAAATTTCTTCCGAAATAATGACAGAAGTTCTGATGTGCAAGAGCCCTAGTGGCAATTCACTTTCAGGTTGTGTCCATTCAGTATGTTTGTCCATTCTTTCCCCTATCTAATGCTCATTGAAGAAATTGTCTCTAGATTTAGTTTAAATCTTGATTTAAATACATCAAGTCCGAATTAAGAGTATGACATACTGAAGACTTTACTTCTATCCAGTCAAAATTCATTTTTACTTTTTTAAAAGTACTTTCCAATTTTTAAATAAAAAATTCTTAATCTTCCAATTTTAGCACTAGAAAATATCCTAATTTTCATCAATTTCCCTTCCTCCATTTTCTTTACAGCTTTAGCCTCCAATAATGGACTAGCGCTCCTTGCATCACTTACGCTTAAAAATGCACTAAATATCAACAGTAATAACAATAATAACAACAACAACTATAAAAATAACAATAACACAAAAAACAACACCATCACAGCAGCAGTAGCATCAACAGCATCACTACACCAACACCAACAACAACAGCCGCAATATGTTTCTTCAGCTAAGATCTCCTCAACATCGTTGTCGTCCTCATCTTCATTGGTGGTGTCTAATTCAGCACTGCAATTCCAAAAACCGCATCAACAACCACAGACGCCACAGATACAAGAACTTAAGTTATTTACATTTAATGGACTACCGGAACAACAACAACACCACCACAGTGTAGTGGAAGCAGCAGCAGTAGTGGCATCTTCTGCCAGCATTTCAACAACCACCAGAACAACTTTAAATGGACCTGATCATCATCAACAACAACAACAACAGACCACGGCCACGGTTGCCATAGCAGCCGGCTTAGTTCCCTCTTCCTCCTCTTCGTCCTTGACAACCTCAGCCACCGCTAACAAAAATTCTTCCTCGACATCAACGAATCATCAGCAACATAATCATTATCATCAGACAAATACCACCACCACCACCTCTAGTGCAAAAGATCCTACCACAGCTTTAATTGAAGCCTTATCTATAAAACCAACAGGAACAACAACAAAGAAACAAAATCAAAACCAACAACAGCAGCAAGTGGGAACAGCAACAACATCAGCTACAACCACATCGACATCATCAACAGCTGTGATAAATGGTGGTAATGGCACAGGTGGAGGAGGTGCAGGCGGCAATGGCAGCAAAAATAATTTTAAAATTCCGTCCGATATACTTGATGATCTGGCCAGTCGTTTCATTATCAACGTGCCCGACATGGAGCTAAGCAATATGATACGTATATGCTTTCAAATCGAGTTGGCCCATTGGTTTTATTTGGACTTCTTTTGTGCCTCCGAGGAGGACAATAAACTGCAAACTTGTGGTATTAAAACATTTGCTATGCAATTATTTCAGGTAGGAAATCTATTCTACTTTATACAGCTATTAACGTTAAATAATGATGTGATGTTTACTTTCCAGCATATACCATTCCTACAACAACATTTATCTTCGGTAGATAAAATCTTGGAAGATTGGAAAAATTACAAGTTATCGGTGCCAACATTTGGGGCTATACTTATATCGGAGGATCTCAACTATTGCCTGTTAGTGCAATCATATTTTGCCAAAAGTTCATGGGGTTTCCCAAAGGGAAAGGTTAATGAAAACGAAGATCCGGTACACTGTGCCACCAGAGAGGTAAGCTTCCACTATTTTTTACACGATTAAATATTTAAATGATAATAATTCTGGCGTTTTTTTAGGTTTTTGAGGAAACCGGCTACGATATCACCGAACTAATTGTACCAAATGATTACATTGAAGCTGTTATCAATTATCAATACACTCGCCTGTATATAGTGCGCGATGTTTCGTTAGAAACGAAATTCTCACCGCGCACACGTAATGAGATTAAATGCTGTGATTGGTTTCCCATTGATTCATTGCCTGTTAATCGTAATGATGCCATATCAAAAGCCAAATTAGGCATAAATGCCAATTCCTTTTTTATGATAATACCATTTGTGAAGCGCTTAAAGAAGTGGGTTAACGACAAGCGAAATGGTGTTGAGACACGTCGTCGCAAATTCTCTGGCGGCGGTGGCGTTGGTGGTTCACCCACATCCACCTCCCCCGTGACCACATTCAATAGCAACCACAACAATGGTCTGCCACAACAAACCAAATCTAGTTGTAAAAAATCCAAGCATTTGCAACAGCGTAACAATATAAATAATACTAATAATAATACCAATAATAATGATGATAAAAATGCCTTAAACGGTGGTGCTTTGGCTGCATCATCCATATCCTGCAATGGGAATACATGTTCCAATAATAATAATAATAACAATACAAATAATAATAATAACAGCAATTCAAATCGTTCTAAAAGACAACGCCATAAATCCATGGGTGATTTGGATGGTATTAAATTAAATAATAATTTTAACTATAATAATAATAACAACAACAACAATATCTGTAATAATAATCAAAGTAATTGTAAGACATTAAACAACAACAACAATAACTGTGGTTCTACTATAACAAATCAGCAACAACAACAATCATCAAATTTATCAACGACAAACGCCACAACTAGTGGTGTAAACACCCAAAACAGCAACAACAACAACATCAATAACAGCAATCAAAAAAGGCATTCAAAACTTGTTGCTGCTGGCAGCAATGTTTCCAATAACAACAACAACAACAACAACAACAATGGTTGCAACAATACCAATAACAACAATGTTAATAATTCAACAACAGCAACATCATCATCGTCATCATCTTCAAAGCGTCAATTGTTCCACAGCCAAAGTCATTGCAGCAATTTACACCAACAACAAAATGGTGAAAAGGTAAGTGCTTGGGCGAAAGTTGAAGGTCCTCCGCCGTGTGAAATATGTTAGGAAATAGGAATGATACATTTATCATGTCAAGTTCAACAAATTTGAAATTCTATTTTGACGATTGGTCTTCTATAGGATAGGGTACCCTTGAGGAGGAGGGGGGGGGTCTTTTATAGAATACAGGGTGAGATGAAAAAACTGCAACCAACTTCAGACTGCTGTCATTTCAAAGCCACTCGTCCGACAGCTGTTAAAATTATTCCAGTGACAGCTCATTATATTATTTACAAGCCTACAAAAGCCGTCATTACTGCTCGTATTAATCGATCGCTCTCCGCTCGTACTAATCGACCGTGGCATCAGCCAACAGGACTCAGCATCATCGGACTCAGCACGCGCCACCCAAGAATGGTTACAAAATGAGGTTCCTCGTTTCATTTCCAGCGCACAATGGCCACCAAAATCTCAGGATACCAATCCGTTGGCCTATTGTGTCTGGAGTATTTTGGAAAACAAGGTTGGCACTAAAAAATACAAATTGTGGATCACCTCAAGGAAGCGCTTGGGCCAAAATATCGCAGAGCAACATTTGGGCAGCGTGAGACGGTTTCATTTGGTCATAATTCGTGCCAAAAGTGACCAATTCGAACAAATCTAAACTTGATCTAAATTTGATGATATTTCCGACATTTTTCCTTTCATTCAATACAATTTCAAAAAGAAAATGTAGCAATTATGGCGTTGGACTTTGTTGCAGTGTTTTTATCTCACTCTGTATATTTTTTATGAGTATCGAAATTTCTCACATTTTCCCTACCATTTCTTTGTACAATTTCAGATTATAAGTTCGTTTGATTTGATACGTAAAGAGAAACAACAAATGAAAGCAGCTATGGCAAAATCTCAGAAACAGCAGCAGAACAATTTAAGTGGACGTCAAAGGGCCAAGTCGCAAAGTGATAAGATGTGTATGCAACAACATTATCAACAGCAACAGCAACAACAACAATTGAATCATAAAAATACAAATGTAAATAATACCGTTAACACAAACAAACAACAACAACAACAGCCGCCACCACCACCACAACGTTTATTGAAACAACAATCAATGATTGTTACCAATTCCACAATGATGTTGAGTACAAATAGCAGCAACAATAAAACCAACAATCATCTTCATCATCATAACCACAATAACAACAACAATAAAATGAATGTAAATACAAATAACAACAACAACAACAATACAGGTTATCGTACCCCAACGCCACCACCTTTAAGTGGCAATGATTTGTTGGCATTAGCCGCTGCTGCAGCTGCCAATGGTTTTATCAACAATACCACCAATACCATTTTACAACAACAGAACAACAAGGTCATCAACAATTCTGGTGGCGGTGGTGTCCAATTGAAGCCACGTCCTTCATCAGTATCATTGCATTTCCCCGAAATGGTCTCATTGAAACGAGAAAACACTGATTTGCATACAATGCAACAGTTACAGCAGCAGCAGCCGCAATTGCAACGCATGGCATCGGGTACAAATCTACGCATACTTAGACGTTCAACATCTCATCAGCCACAGCAGCAGCAACAACAAAGGCAGTCTTTTACACCAAGTTTCAATTCATGGACTAATTTTACATTTACCAAAAATTTTATGGCCAATGTTTTTTGTTAAATGAGATTTTTTCTTCAGCGAAAAAATTTTCTACAAAATTTGGTGAATTTTTCTTTTCATATCAGAAAAACAAAAAAAAGAAAAGAAAAACATCTAAAGGACGCTTTTGTGAAGGTGATTTTTTTATTATTATTGTTTTCTTTTTTGTTTTATAAATTGAAAAATTTTTGGTACTTGGTTTTTATTTTTGGTTTTTTTATTAGTTTTGAAAAACAAAATTGAAATTCTCAAAATATTTTTTTAAAGTAGTACCAAAATTTGTTCAATTTTTTTATTTTATTTTTTGTTTATTTTTTTTTCTTATTTTGCTTTTTAATTTTCCCTCCCCCCTTTGACAAATTGAATTAAAACTTACAATGACCGCCCCTCCCCCCACAAACATATGGAATATGAAGTGAAATTCTTATTTCAAATAATGTATTCAAATAATTGCTCAAACTACTTAAAAAGCTTTAGCCGTATTCAAAATATTTTCTGCAATTATTTTCTTTTCTTTTTTTGGTTTCAGTTTTTGTAAATCTAATTTCTATGCTTATCCTTAAATTTTAATGTATAGTTTAAAACATGGCCTATATATAGTCGGCCAGTAAGAAGGCCATCTGACAACTAAAGTTGAGAGAGCATAGAAGGCTTTTCTAACTGGCTTCTTCGTAGAGAAACAATGGAGTTTTAGGTTGACTCTGTTCGATTTTGGCCTTACGCTCCTTTGTTTTTTTACAAAAAAAAAAGGGAGTAAATGGCTTAAGTCATTCAAAAAAATGTTTTATGTATTCTCACCTTAAGTTTGCTTGCTATCACAAGATACATATTGTGATTTAGAATTTAAAGAAAGTCGCATCAAAAAGTTTAAAAACTGCCAAGTTTTTTTGTCATATTGTTAGAAGCAATCTTCCTGGCCGACGACCATATGTAAGCCTTGATTTAAAATTCCATTTGACAGCCTATTTTGTATTTAATGTAAGTTTGAATTTTATTTCTCTTTTTTGTGATTTCATTTTTAAAAAATTTTTAAGTTCAAATATTATTTCTTTTTAATTTTGCATGATATTTTTAGTTTATACTCTATCCCCTCCCCCCATCCCCCAATGAAACCCAAATTCCTTACCATACAAATTGTTAGTTTTCCTTAAGAGTATCAGAAATGGAAAAGAAAACCCCTGTAATGCTTGAAATTTATTATTGTTCTTTGAGTGATAGAAAATGATGAAGGAAAAAAAGCAATTAGTGAAATTTACCCACCACTAGATTCAACTGCCTTTTTTGTAGGACATTCTTAAGATATCTTAACACAATTCAATAACCCTTTAGCCTATACCAAATTCTCTTAAACGGGTTTAAATGGCAATATCTTAATGTTAATTTAATTTCCTTAAGAGAAATGTAGTTTATTTTTTCTTTTTGTAAATACACCATTAAAAAGATGTGGACTTAGTGGTCCTATACATCCACCAAAAATTGTTTTTTAAAAAGAGATTTTTTTTGCTTGAAAACTAGTTTCATAAAGATTAAATTTTTATGTCCTCACTGCTTCCACATCGAAACAAGCATACATTTCGTTTCCCTTGATGATAGCTCTTTTTGGGAAAATTTCAAATTGTTACAAATTTTTATGGAATTTCTCTTTGAAACTTTTTGTTTTAGAAAACTTCAAAGGGGATCAATAAAAATATGGATTATTATTAAACAACAACACCCCTCCCCATCTTTCAATCAAGTATCAATTCCACCAAAAGAATACTTGAAGAGATGAAAAAGAAAACAAAAGATTTAAATCCAAACTTTAATTTTTCAAAAAACCTAAACCTTAAATCGTGAAACCTTAAAAATCGTAAAAATTCCTCATGTTTTTGAATTGTTTATGCATTTGGTAAATTAAATTAACTTTTGAAGACCTAAAGCAAATCCTCAATAATTTTTTTTTTTTTAATGCACAGCATTCACCATTAAAATGCGTTTTTTTTTTGTCATAAAATATCTCCTTTGAGGACTTTTAATTCAGCCTAAAAGTATGCTTTAATTTTCTTAAACAAAGTACACACTTAACGTTCTCCTGAGTAAAAGCATAAATAATATATGTATTAATAGTGGTGAGAGACTCTCTTGCCCTGCGAATTGAATGGCAATTAAGAATCGAAAGAGAATATGTGTGCTTTTTCGTTCGAGGATGCTAATATAATCGTTTGTTTTCTTTTTTCATCATCGAATTTAAACAAATATTTAAGAAAATTGCAAAATTATTTTTTCTTTCTTTTGGAAAACCAAAACAAACACCCGAAAGTCCTCAAAACTAAAACAAGTCTTCCTCTCTTAAAAAAAAAAAAAAAAACAAATAACAAAAAGAATATTGGAATGTTTAACAAAATTAAATAATGAAATTTTCTTTCGAAACATAATTTTCTTAAATATTTGTTTAAAATATATATACCCCACTCCCCCTATAAACAAACAACAACAATCCCTTTTTCTAAACAAAAAATTACCAAACAAACGAATTATTATTCATATTTAAATATATATATGAAACAAAGCCTGGAAGAAGGAACCCAGCATATATAGCATAAGAAAACTACTATTCTCAACAAAACAATTTTCAAATTTCCATTTATTTTTGTTGAATACAGTTTTGAGAATAATTTGTAACATGTCCTAAAGAACTACATGGGGAATTTTTATTTAATTTTTATCTTTCCTCATTTTAAATGAATGGGGAGAAACCAAAACATGCAGGAAGATTTAGAATTTTTAAACCGAAACTGAACTGAATCAATTACTCTTGGATTTTATTTCACATTTTAATAACGATAATTAAAACAAAATTTAGCACCTCCCAAATAATTTGGAATGAGGACGAGTTGACGAAAGTGACAAATTCATTCCCCACAAGTGAATATTAAAAATTGAACTGCAAATCTCTCCATTTGTAACTTTTTGAAGTTAAGTGGTAAATTATTTGATATTTGGGCCCTCAGCTTAAATCCTATATATCTTAAAATCACTCGTATTTGAAAGTTGTGTATTAAAGTCCTGTTTTTTATGAATGCGAAAAAAATTTCAAATGTTTTTTTTTTAAACCGACCCACACTTTTTACTTTTTTATTATTTTAATTAAATCAACAATTTTAAAATAAAATTTGAAATTGTATTTTTTGTTGGAATTCACTTCCGTATCGGCATATAGAAACATGACCAAAATACAAAATGTTAAATAAGAGGATTTAAGCCCTTTAGGATTTAAATTGGGGGCTCGAAATGTGAAACAGATTTTAACAGGACTCGAAGAGCTACAAAGTGGGAAATGTACAATTCCATTCAGCCTACCCAATTGTTTTGTTGAGAATTTTATTTACTTATAAGGCTTTTATTTTTTATATTAAGGATTTTGAAAATCCTTTTTATAATAAATTATATATATGAAACAAAAACACAAGAACAATGTACAAACAAAAAACAACTCCAACCTGGTTTTTTGTAAACTATATAAAAAAAGATGAGATACTCTTACATCATCTGATTATTCCGTCTCGTTGGGATTAGGGAATTTCACAAGGCATGGGTTTTGCAGAAACAAAGTTTTCAAAGAATTCATTTTTTATAAAAATTTATGAATTTAAAAATGAAAGACTTCGAGACTTTAAAACTGAGTTCATTTTGGAATCCCCGTGTCCTAACGGGGCATAAACGATTTTATTTAATTTTATAAAATCTCAACAAGTTGTGAAGGTAAAATGTGAAAAAGGAAACTTATGGCAACAAATTTTTATAAAAAATATTTGAATTATGTATTTTGTAAATTAGGGGATATCCCAGCGTGGGAATTTTGAAAATTTCCTGAGATCAAACCTTATAATTTCAAATTTTCAACTTAATTTTTAAATATCCATCATTTGTTTTTATTTTTTTTTCATTCGCTTAAATTTTCTTTGGATATTGTAAAGAAGATCTCAAAATTGAATTTTGAATTTGGAAAATTTCCTAACCTCAAAACTTTTTTGAAGATATCCAAATTTGAGCTGAAATTAGATTCTTCCGGCAATTGCAATAAAAACATCCTAAACCCCTTTCCAATGTATATTAGAGATGTATCCAAGAGTGCAAATCTTGAATTTTGAAATTTTCCTAACCTCAAACTTTTTGTGAGGTTATGATTTCAACTGAGTATTGAATTATACATCATTTGTTTTTTTATTTGCATTTATTTCATTTAGACATTGTTAAAAAGGTACAAGGGAGGAAATTTTTGAATTTTTTTAAAAATTTCTAACCTCAACTTTTCTTGTGAGGTTATGATTTGAAATAAACTGAATTATGATTTTTTACGTCAATTGCAATAAAACCGGGTATAAACACCTTTTTTTAATGTAAATTAGGCATATCCAAAGAATAACATTTTGAAATCTTCCTAACCTCAAACTTTTTGTGAGGTTATGATTTCTAAAAAGAAGGATCTTCGAATTTTTCTGCCAATTACAAGAAAACCGGCTCAAACAACGTTTTTAATGTAAATTAGGAACATACAAGGGAGAACATTTTGAATTTTTAAAATTTCCTAACCTCAATCTTTTTGTTGAGGTTATGATTTAAAAAAAAAAAAACAGATTTTTGAATTTTCCCCCAAATTACAATAAAACCAGCTTCAACACCTTTTTCAATGTAAATTGGGAACATCCAAGGGAACAAATTTTGAATTTTTTAAATTTCCTAACCTCAAATTTTTATGTGAGGTTATGATTTAAAATAAACTACATTTTTTTTAATGTAAATTAGGGATATCCAAAGAAGTGAATTTTGATTTCCAACTGATTTGTAATTATATAATATTTTCAAATACGGATTCCATTTCTCGACCTTGAAACGTTCCTTTTCACACTTTACCTCCACTACTTGCACAACAAAATTTTGCCAAAAATTTGTAAATAGATTGCATAACAAAGACAACTCAATATTCCATCCTTTGCAATCCCATCAAATGTTTGACAAAATTTTTGTTAAAAAAATAAAACATATTTAATAAACAAACAAAAAAAAAGAATGGTTTTCTACACAACACAACAACAACAAATAGTTTTGGTCAATTAATCAACAACAAATGAAGGAGAAGAAAAATGAAACCCGCCCAGTAACAAGGACAAATAAAGTACAATGTATGTTGTGCAGTGAAATATTTGAATAATTTGTGAAAAAATCTTATTTTTCAAAACAAAAACGTTGACCTTTGAATGTGAACATTTTGAGATACACGAAACATCTTCTTTTAATTATTCTTGGAAAGTATGGAAAAACATTATTATTTTTGGCAAAGTGCAAAATAAAATCTTATTTTTTAAGAGAAAACTTAAAACATTGTCTTAAGATTTGAGTTAAAACCTAAAAATCCTTTATCTGTAACAGATCTCCTACTTAATATTAGTTATGAAATCAATGTTTTTTTAAGGGGAAATCATTAAATTGTTGGCAGCGTGTTTATTTTCAGGAAAAATAAAATAAAATTGTTCTATGCAGAGACATATCAAAACCTCAATTAATAAATTAATTGAATTCAAATAATGAAATTATATATCTCGAAATCACAATCAACATGAATTTCAATAGAGAATTAGAAATATTACCAAACAAATGTCAATACAATTTAATGTTTTCATCTGGTGAAATTTGAAGATGATGTTGTTGCCTTTACTTTTTATGATTTGAAATGAGATGAGAATTTAATTTTATATTGTACATGTATTTCATTTATATATAGACATATGTATTGTTTTGCTATGCATTTGTTATAACGAATATATTTTGTTATTATCACAACAACAACAACAAATTTATAATATGAAAACCAACAAAATATTCTAAAGCACACCTTACAGCATCAAAACCCTTAATGCCACCCAAAAATTATACCACCTACCCAAAACTTTATATATAATTTCTTTTATATTACCATAAGCCACCATGTTACCTAATTTGTATCCAATAATCTTCCAACTATTCATATTATTGATATAGAATCCTATCTAAGACCATATGTTGTAAATTAAAAAAAAAAAAAAGAAAAATGTAATAATTGAATTTCAATGACAACGACGATAATTGGCTGCTGGTTCACAAAAAAAAAATTTTTTTTGAATTATATATTTCCCCCCTCATTGATACCAGTTTGTTAACCCCTCTCCTCCTGTATTATTTAAGTTATCCTCCACGAAAAAAACTGTGTTATTGTAAAATCAAATTTAAAATTAGACTTTATTTTGTACTTTTGAACAAAATCGACACACCATCCAAATGTAATGTGTATAAAATAAAAAAGAAGAATAATTCGAGAAAAAAAGAAAAACGAAAAGATTGAAAATAAATGCAAAGAAAACTATGAAACACCAAAACAAGAACAGCAAAAAAAAAAAAAAACAAAATGTGTTTTATTTTGTCCCACATTAAAACATCTCATTACCAAGTAATGGGTTTTTATACCCTCAGCCATATGGCTAGAGAGGGTATATATCATTTAAAACGGGCTAAAACATACCTCATTAAAATAACACCCTAGGTCTCTTTGGACCAAATACGTTTCAGGACATTTGGAGTCAATCTAGCGATGTCCGTCCATCTGTCTGTCTGGCTGGTGCGCACAATATCTCTTGAAGGGATTATACGATTTGATCCAATCTTGGTACATTGTAATATTATTGTCAAACTTAGATAGAGTTCAGAGAGGAGCAAAATCGATCCACTCTTCCCACAAAATGTCAAAATTTTCAAAGAGAGAATTTACTGCACAGAAAGAGAAAGAATAATCCAATTTTGTTTCAACCTTGCAAATCCCACTACAGGGTGAGAATTAAAAAACTGCAAGCAACTTCAGACTGCTGTCATTTATAAGCCACTCGTCCGACAACTGTTAAAATTATTCCAGTGACAGCTCATTATATTGTTTACAAGCGTAAAAAAGCATTTTGGTGAGAACTTTCCAGAAAAAAAAGTTATTCGTGATGAAATTCAAGCGTGAAATTGTGATTTCTTTATATTTGGCTGGAAAACCACAAGTGGCTATCGATAGAGCACTCCAGCATTTAAATGTGAATAAATCTTTTGGGTCTCGCACCATCTCTCGTTACCGTGATACTGGTAGCTTAGCCCAACCGACGTCAAGGAAGTGGACCGAAGAAAACAGCAACATCAGCAGAAATGGTTCGAAAAGTAAAAAAGCGACATGATCGAAACCCGCGTGGCAGTGGCCGAAAAATGGCTCGTGAGCTGAACAATCGCAACATTCCATTCGGCAAACATTAAAAAAATGGGCTCGGTGTAAAGCCATTGAAATTCGAAAAAGTGCAAGAACTTACGCCGCAACAGAAAGAAAATAGACTCAGAAGAGCTAAAGAGTTGCTTCGCTTGGCCGAAAGTGGTGAACTGCGAATTTGGTTTTCTCCGATGAGAAAACATTCGTTGCCCAGCAGTTTGTAAACAAACAAAATGATCTTGTTTACTTGCCAAAGAGGTCAGCTGAAAATGTGCACTTTCGTTTGGCCACCAGAACTCAAGTGCCGGCCATAACAGCCGCTCGTATTAATATTATCGCGATAATATTTTGGAGGGTGTATCAAAATACCAAATTGTCGATCACCTCAAGCAAGCGCTTCGCCGGGAATGGGCCAAAATACCGCAGAGCAATATTCGGGCAGCGTATGGCGGTATCATTGGCCGTTTGAAGGCCATAATTCGTGCCAAAGGTGACAAATTCGAACAAATCTAAACCTATTCTAAAATTTGATGCTATTTCCGACAGTTTTTGCTTTCGTTCAATAAAATATAAAAAAATGTAATAATTATGGCGTTTGACTTTGTTGCAGGTTTTTTATCTCATCCTGTATTTCTTAATTTTCCCAAAAATTGCACATATCTCACAAATAAAGTATATGAAGTAGTCGACATTGTCAAAATTTGGCATATTGTAATACTGAGTTTTCCCCCGAGGTGGTTTAACTTGTAGAGCTGGAAATTATCGCTCAAGGTCCTTCTTATTGGTCCTTCATTAAAATATCCCATTTAAAGTTTTCATTTTTGAACTTTACAACAATTTAATAAATAAATTCTTCATTCAATCCGGGTTGTCGTTCAAAAATACATTGGACATCACAGCCGGTTTAATGCTATTACTAATTGCCATTAAATTCTGTCTTATATTGTCTCGTATCTCTTCATTCCGCAGAGAATGTTGCAGGACATCATACCATAGATAACTTTCCATATCATCTTCATCGTAGTCATCAAAATCATCATCGTCGTCGTCATCATTTATTTCAAAACGTTCTATGGTTTGCATTGCCTCAATACCATCTGGATCGGGATCAGAAGCAGCCGTCGAAAGGGCAGGTGAAACTGGTGGTTTGGGCCGTGATATATTCAGCTCCTCGGCAGCCTTGGTATGCAAGGCTCTGTGACGTTTAAAATTCGAAGGATCGGTAAATTGTTTGGGACACAAATTACATTTGTAAGGCTTTTCGCCTGTGTGCGTCCGCTGGTGTTTGGTTAGGGCTGATTTTTGTTTGAAATATTTCCAACACGTTGTACATTGGAATTTATATTCTGCGGGTATTTTCACCAGGTTGGGTGGCGGCTGGGTTACGATGTCGTGCATGTTTAAAGCGGGCAGGACCACAACATTGCGTATTAGAGCTTTGGTGGAGGATTGGGCAGTGGTATTGGTTATGTCATTTTTTGTGGTTCTCACAATCTCTAATTTATTTATATTTTCATTTGATTGTGATGATGGGGAAGGCGTAGCAGAAGTTTCATTTGGAGAGATGACTTTGGCCGACGAATCTTCAGTTTTATTTACATTATTTGGTAAGGAGTTATTTTCTACTTTTCCAACTCCCCTTTTTTGCAAATCTGCTTTCAGTGGAGGAGGATTTTTGTTGTGATTATTTTTTGTAGTTCTGACAATATCCAGCTTTGCAATATTTCCTTTCAATTGTGACAATGATGGTGAAGAATGAGAAGAAGAATATGGTACGGAAGTAGTTTGATCTAGAATATCTTCCGATTTCTTAAAATTATTTTTGGGGGAGTTCTTTGCTGTTTGTCCAACTCCCACTTTTTGAATAACTACATTCTTTGGAGAATCTGGAGGGATGGCCTTTGCTAATGAATCTTCATTTTGAATATCATTGGATCTATTAAGATTTTTTGCTGGAGTCTTCTTATCAATACCCTCTTTTTGCATATCTATTCGCAGTGTATGATCTGTTGTTGCAACCTCCTTAATTTCATTTACTCTCGCATTGCTCTGTACCGCATTCTTTTTCAGCAGCGAATATGGGGATATTTTATATTTTAAAGGTGTCGTTCTTAGGGCATAACTTATTTTCGGTTTCTGCCGGAATCGAGTTATTGTCGGTTCAAAATCTATTTTATCACTTGGTATTATTGGTGTCGAAGCTTTTACAGGCAACTTTCCTTTGGTGTTTGGCAAGACCGTCCTATCTATTTTCTTTGGATTTAAATCTGTACTTGAAATGCTGAAGTGGCTGCTTTGATTTTCTGGGTCTCTGGAGCGACCTGTGGGGTTTTTAGTTGGAATTATCTGTAGCTCCTGTTGTGAATCCAAATTCCATGATTCGTTTTTGCAATATTGATTTAGGGTAATTGTTCTAGGTGGACATAGGGAAACACTCCTCTCGTCAGTGTTTTCATGGTTAGCAGTTTTCTGGGATTGGTCTTCATTTCTATCATTCTTCCCACCTTCTTCTTTTAAACTGCATTCTAGCCTTTTAACAACGGCATTTCTCACTTTGGACAGGGACACCTTTTCCTCATGTATTCGGCGATGGGCCGTTAAATTTGATTGGTGGCCAAAGGTTTTATCACAAATCTATAAAATGGGATTTTAAAACATCAACATTTTAAATTCGAAAACTTTAAGGGCTTACATCTTACCGAACATTTGTATGGCCTCTCTCCAGTATGTGTCCTTAGGTGAATTTTCAGCTCCGAATTTAATACAAATGATTTTTGACAATATTCACACTGATATGCCTTCACATCTAAATGCTTGGCCATGTGATAGCTGAGATTGAATTCATACTAAAACAAAAACCAAATATTATAAATCTTATTTTAAGGAAAATAATCTAAAACCAACCTTAAAGGTGGCATCACACATGGCACATCTGAACCTTCTCTCCTCACTGTGCGCATTTTTATAATGCCGGCGCACTGCAAAGTTATCCTCAAATGTCTTGGAACAAATTGCGCAAAGATATTGTAACTTTTCAATTGATTTTCGCAGTTTATCGATTTCTTCAGTCGCCGCGGCATGTTCCAGAATGTGCTGGCAGAAATCATTTTCCCTGCCAAAGATATTCTTACATTTACGACAAATGAAACGTAGACGAAATCTATGAGTTTTGTCACAGATTTCAGTAAGCTCACCCAAAATTTGGGCATTACCCACACCTTTTACAAATGCCATTTTGGGTAGAGTTTCCAGAGTTGTGGTATCATTATTTTTACCAATGCATTGGATTTTGGCTTTCTTTGTTTCTAGTTCCTCGTGGGAATAACGTTTAGGGGGCTTCCTATTCCTTTTTTCACGTGAGAAGATAGCGTTCGTGTCCTTTATTTTATCAGAATCATTATTACATGGTTTCAAATCATGATTGGGAACATAACAATTAACGTCCATGACATCTTCGATCTTGTCGTTTCCCATCGTAGATGCAGAATCTTTAAAATTCTGCACAAATGTTTCCCTTTCTTGCTTTATACGATGTAGAATTGCTTGTACACTTTCCACGTCCAAAGTGCACTGTCTGCAGGTCCCGAATGTTTTATTTACAGGCTTAAAAACAAATATAAAATTAATGGATGATCAACTGGATATCACCACTTACTTACCTCCAAATCCATAAGTTTCAAGAACTTCTTTACGAACTCTTCTGCTGGTTTGGAAAGCTTTGGTCCCTTCTCCTCCTCATCCTTGTTAAATTTATGACCACACATGCAACACAGTGCCATTCTATTTACTGGCTTTGAATGAATGCTGTCCTCCGGCCTTAATCAAAACTACACAAAATTGAAGAACAACATAAAATAAGGAGATATGAATTGAATTGTAGGCCACATATATGGAAGACCTCCTCGAAAGTTTTGCCAGGTACCAATGTCACTAGGACCAACTACCCCCTCGTAAAACGAGAGTCTCCTGATAAGGCAATGGTACATACACTTTGCTGCTCAGCGATTTCAGCTGTCCACCTCTGGATCGATTCGACCGATCCTGGAAACCTAACCTATATGACTAATAACAACCAGGACCTTTTGGTTGCATTTTACTCACTTTTTTCTAATATATGAATATCCTGATCCTATGCTATTCCAAAAGCAATGTCCTTAGAAACATTTCGAAGATCAACAAAACAAATGAGAAGGCAAACCGGCAATGACTGATAAAAAATAAACAGAAAACAAAATCACCGAGTGCTCTGTTGTTTACGAATGAGGTGTAATGCAAAACCATAGAGAATTCTATACACATTCATTAAATGAGAGCCACGGAACTAGTTTTACTACGTAAATGACTTTCGATTAATCGACTATTCATCATCGATTTTGCAATTCTTTTGTGCAAACCATACAACTAATAGCATGTTCACACGATAAATTGAATGACGTTGTTTGCTCTCAGAATCACGTACACGAATTAACCCGTTCATACGGCACGATTCGTAATTCATAGTAAAATAATTCCTTTTTTCAAAATTTTTTTTTTGTTTAATTTAAATGGGAATTTATACGAAAATACATTAAATTCACACTAATATGAATAGAAGAATTATTGTTTTCCTCCCAAAGATTTATTATATCATTAATTTTACAATTTTCATTCATGTTTTCAACTTTTTGTGTAAATGTTGACATTTTGGACATATTTTAGTATTTTTCTATTTTCAAATTCTGCTGGAGAGACACTTGTTAAACTTTTTTTCTGCCGACACAAACATTTTGAAAATATTGCATCTTTTGTTTCCAGTTTTCTGTGGAAATTTCAACTCGTGGACAAAATGCGCACCACGGATGAGAGAGAAAACAAAATGTACTTTCGTTTGAATGTACATACGCCATTCAACATTGTAGTTTTCATTCATAATTTTCAGTCTTCCCAAAAAATTTTAAAATTTCATTAAATTTTCCTATTTTTAAATGTCATAATTTATTTTTTCGATAAATGCTCTCATTTGTTAGGGATGAGACATATTTTTTCGTTGTTCTGAGAGTGATTTGATTTGAACAACGTACAAATATGAGTGTTCGCTCAGGAAATTTTGTGTGAAGAATTAGATAGTTTTTTCATAGTTAAGGGCCAAACAACGAATAGAGAGCGAATCAAGTGCAGTGGAAACGCCACATAACACAGTTCCCAGTTACATTGAACGTAATGTATATACAGGGTGAGATAAAAAAAAACTGCAACAAAGTCAAACGCCATAATTTTTACATCTTTTTTTTAATTTTATTGAATGAAAGCAAAAAATGTCGGAAATAGCATACAATTTCAGAATAAGTTTAGATTTGTTCGAATTGGTCACCTTTGGCACAAATTATGGCCTTCAAACGGCCAATGAAACCGTCACACGCTGTCCAAATGTTGCTCAGCGGTATCTTAGCCCATTTCCGCGAAGCGCTTGTTTGAGGTGATCGACACTTTGGTATTTTTTAGTGCCAACCTTTGCTTTCCAAAATACTCCAGACACAATATTCCAACGGATTGGAATCCGGAGATTTTGGGGGCCATTGTGCGCTGGAAATGAAGTGAGGAACATATTTTGTAACCATTCTTGTGAAGCGCGTGCTAATGGCGATGGTGCTGAGTCCTGTTGGAATTTCAACGGCTTTACCCCGAGCTCATTTTTCAATATTCGCCGAATATTCACGAGCTCACCAGCCATTTTTCTGCCAGTGCGAAGCGGGTTTCGATCAAGTCGCTTCTTTACTTTTCGAACCATTTCTGTTGATGTTGCTGTTTTTTTCGTCCACTTACTTGACGTCGGGCTACGCTGCCACCATCACGGTAACGAGCAATGGTAAGAGACACAAAAGATTTATTCACATTTAAATGCAGGAGTGCTATAATGATAGCCACTTGTGGTTTTCCAGCCAAATATAAAGAAATTACCCTATCACGCTTGAATTCCATCACGTATAACCTTTTTTCTGGAACATTCTCATTTCTCACGCTTGTAAACAATATAATGAGCTATCACTGGAATAATTTTAATAGCTGTCGGACGATTGGCGTAGAAATGACAGCAGTCTTAATTTTGTTGCAGGTCTTTCATCTCACCCTGTATAAAAACAAATTCATAAACAAGTTAAGAAATAGCTGATTGTCATTTATACCATAGTGTGGTTCTTAACACAGGCCAATGAAAAAACAGCTGAGTGAGTAATTCTATTTTGTTTATCGATAAATGTTATCGAGTCATCGGAATAACGTAGAAACTAATAACTGACGCAGTAAAAGTTAAATAATTAATATTTTAACTAAAAAATAATATATTATGTAATATTAATTAAGTATTTATGAAAGTAAACATTTTTCATTTTTGTCACTGACTCATCCATATAACTTTCAGGGATAAATTAGGGCTCAATTTTTTTCTCTCTATTAACTGAAAATCCACAATTTCTTTAAAGATTTTTATACATTTTATTTGCATTATTTAGTTTTTCATTATGAGTTGGGGTTCTTTTTTTTTTCTTCGCAATAAAACATTATTTTTTAGACTATAATTTTGTAATTTGTTTTTATTTATATGCATAATGTAACGTTCATGCTTTTGGATTTTTTTTAAATTGTTTTTCTTTTTTTTTTGTTTTGTATAATTTAATTATGTATATATGTAATTATAAATATATATGTAATTATTATAAATTGTAAATTAAATGTTAGGATTTGTTTTTTGAACCGATTAAAGGGATTAAGAATTTTGTAATGATTTGAATTTTTTTCGGGAGATTATTTTGCAAATAATTAGTTAACACAATTGCTAAGATAATAATATATTTAACATACAATTAAATTATCTTGTTTGATTTGAATTTTTAGGTTTTGTTTACAATTTTTTCATTCTGCGCTAAAAGAATACACTATATATATTTATTTTTTAATATACAGATAAATTTGCATTTTTTTAATAATACATAGTTTTTGTTTTATTTTTTGAATATTAACTTTTTGTTTATTGAATTTCTTTACGCTGAGTTTTAAACTTTTATGGATTTTTTGTTTGTTTAAAAACATGATATAGGGGTTTGCTTGTAATATTTGTGTAGTTTTTTTTGTTTAATAATTAACAGGTCTTTTATTAGTTATCAATATTTTTTTACAATCTGTTTATGAGATAGTTTATTCTTTTTTTTAAATTTTTTTTTAACACAAAAAGGCCAATTAAGAAGAAATTATAAATAAATTTATGTATTTTACAATTAAACCAAGTGATTTTTATTAATAAAGCTTGAGAAGATATTTAAATTTCCTAAAGGTATTTTTTGTTTTTTTTTTTTTTTAATTTCTTGGAATGAATTCAAGTCGTTTTTGAATTTGGAAGATGATCTCCGTAAAGAGCAAGTAATAAATAATTTTTCACATAAACACAATATAGCAACCAATAAAATACAAAAATAATACAAAATTTAATTTTTCTACGCCTTTTTTTTGCGGAGAGCACATCCGGACTTCAAATCGCACGTTAAGGGGGAGGACCTGCGTCCATTTCCTATTTGCTTTTTGTCCTTGCACTTAACGTAGGCCATAAGTTCAGTCCTTGTATTCACCATTCCTCCAGCACATTGTTTGTTGTCTTTGCCATTTGTTGTTATTTTTTATTTTTTCTTATAGAAATATTAATTTATTATTTTTAAAAATATGACTTTTATTCTCTCTGACAAAATATATATGTGTATATATATTTAATATATGTGGCATCCCTAAGATTAGTGTATGTGTGTGTGTATGTTTTCTTTTTGTAATATGTAGATGTATTGGCTTGTCTTGTATGAGTGTCTGTAGATTATTTGGTTGTTCTTCTCATTACTTAATTACATCACACATTACTGTCGGTGCCCACGGCTCCGGTAAAGGAAAACGGTTGGGCATTGTTAATGATGCCAGCACGATCATTTGTTGTCGGTTGGGTGGTAGTGGGCGCCAGACCGGAACTAACTGCAGCCTGTCTCATTTCCGCAGCCGAGGCTCTGCAAAATTAGAAAATAAAAGAGGTTATTTAAAAAATTGAATGAATATTATTGTCATTAAATAAACATGCATAGTATTGTTTGGTTAAAAAATCGCAAAACGGGTGTTTTTAATTTACAGTGAACTTTGTAAGGAGGTGCATTTCGAACTTTTATTACAAATTTTAAAAGTCAAACTAAAGTGATTTTAATAAATACATAAATTTCAAATTTTGTAGAAAATCACTAAATCCAAACTTTTAATTTTTTTTCTACTGGGGTCCAATAGAAAAAACTATGGGCAAAAAAAAAAAAGAAAATCTAAAAACTAATTTAAAGCATAATGAAAAAAAAAAAAACGTCTCGGAATTCAAACTTAAATTATTCAATTCTACATTTTTACATAAAAATAGGTTAAAGTAAATTATGGATAGGTTTATATGAAGATTAATACACCTTGGAAGGAAATGGGATCCTCTTAGCGGATCATAAGCTCACTCTAAATTGTATGGATACTTAACACGTTGACCCAAGTCCAAATGGTATTATGCCCTTAACGCGCCTGGAGTAAAAACATAAGGCATATCTAGTTCCATACAGAGAAAAATATGTCCTTAGAATTGCAAAAGAAAAAAGACAAGATGTTTTAGAGCACTTTGAAGATAAAAGAACTGAACTTGAATTATGGTCCATTATCTAAAGTCTCAAATTTTATAATAATGGCTATAAACGAAATACTTTAGATGCAAAAATCTATTCTTACGATTTGGTTCTAATGTCCTAATTCTTCTAATGTTTCTAATTTCAGACTAATTCAGGGAAGTTTGGTTAGACTATCAAGATGGACAACCAGCAATGATCCCTCCGGAAGAATAAAGAAAAATCTTTCTATAATACTTCAGGAAACTATTGGATGAACGCCCACCAAATAAATAAATTTAATTGAAATTTTGGATCTACAAAAAATTTAGTTCAATTTTATCGAAAAACAACAAGCAAAAAATGAAGCTATTAACTAAAAACAAAAGCGATTTTAAACATGCAAATCTAAGTGTGAACTGGTCCTAACAATTAATAACAAAAACCAAATTAAGGATCTTGGGAATATCAAAGGTATAATTTAATAATGCTAAATCCAACAAGTAAAAAAAAAAACAGCTAAGTTCGGCGGGGCCGATTTTTTTGTACCCTCCACTATTCGGAAGGAGCTAGAAAAAAAAAACGAAATTCGAAACAATTCCGGTGAATAATGTCGCTAATATCATGAAAATGCCGAATAAAGGGTGGTACTATTGTAGGGGGGCTATACTAAGACGTGGACCTGCATAGACAATTTTCCGTCATAGGGTTTAGAACCTATTACGAACTTCAAATACGAAATTTGACGCAATTCCGGTGAACAATCTAGCAAAATCCTGGAAATACCGAATATCTCGGGGTAGCGTTTTATGGGTGCTATACTAAAACGTAAACATATATAGAAAATTCTCTTTAAGGGGGAAAAGTGCTCACAGAGAACTTCTTGTGTAGAATTTCAGCCAATTCCACTGAAAAATGTGGCTAAAATCATCAAAATGTCGAATACCGGGGGGCACCATTATATGGCGGCTATACGATATCGTGGACCCATATAGACAATTCTTTTTCGGGGGGTAAAGTAGTTATTAGTAATTTCAGACAATTTCATTGAAAAATGTGGCTAAAATCATCAAAATGTCGAATATCGGGAGGCACCATTATATAGGGGCTATATGATATCGTGGGCCTATAAAGACAATTATTTTTCAAGGGATAAAGTAGTCCCGAAGAATTTCATGAGTAGAATTTCAGACAACTCCATTGAAAAATGTGGATAAAAAAGCCGAATTTCAGGGACACCATTGTATGGGGGCTATACGATATCGTGGACCGATATGGCCCATCGTCTTAAAATTTTAAGCTGATCAAGAATTATTATTTCGATGAGTTACAAACGGAATGACGAACTTAATGTTAAATGGGTTTCTCTTTATATACCATTTTAATGAGGCTGTGACTTAACAGCTTTTAGGGTATGTGGGGATCTATTTTGGATTGAAGAATAGCGATGTTTTGAAACTAATTGAATTATCTACAAGTAAGTAATTCTATTTTATCTTATAAAAGAAAACACAGGGTTATATACTTTAAAACCAAGAAATCTAAACATGCAAAAATGTCTAACTTGCCCTACAAATTAAAAGCTAAATCCAAAATCCCTTTGAAAATTAAAATTAGGATTGTGGGTAATTCAAAAACTCCGCATTCAATAGGTTCCCCTTACTACATACAACATTAATAGGGCTATTAGTATTGAAATAATAATTTTTGGCAATGTGGCTAAATTTGGGGACTAGACCTTATTCTGGAACTAATTTTTTTCTATTAAAAAAAAAATCAACTTTGAACTAAAACTAAGAGGAACAAAAGGAGGAGCCACTAACAAAACACCACTAAACATTTTTATGGGTATTTATATTTTAAAAATTAAATCAGATATTTGCCTTCTGCTAGAGATTTTTTTGGTGGATTTTACAAAAATACGATGACAACGAGAACGCGATGTTTGATGATGGCAAGCTGGCGGGCAGGCGTACACAATTTGGTGTTGGTTTCAGGATACATAATTACATATATATTTTGCAAATACAATGACGATGATGATGAAGTGTGTGAAAGTTGCTTTTAAACTTTGTTAATTGGTTTTAAATTTTTGTTACAATTTATTTGCAAGAAAATACTTTCATGGTTTTTATTAACACTTTTTTGGCAGTATTTTTATTCGGATATGAAATGGAAACAGATGAACTTTAGCTTTTAACACACATTTATTTGGCGTTTGCTGTTGTAGCATTTAAAATTTCAGAATATTATTTAAATTAATTTAATTTGTTTTATTTTTATTTCTTTAAAATACAATTAAATCTATAAGGAAACTTAGGTTTTCAGTAACAAAATTTAACACAATTTAAATAGAGTAGCCTGAAATAATATTAATAGCAATAAACATTTAAGGGAAATATTTATGTAAGAATCAAATGCCAAGTGGTGGAAAAGCAACTCAAAAATAAAAAGAATCTTATAAGACCTCCTAAACTTTATTTTTTCACAAAGGAAGGATCATGTGAGCCCAACCATAAATTTCGTGGGGAATTTTTCCCTTTCTACTTTTTTGTATCAAAAAAAAAATTCTCTCAATTTACACACATCAAGAAAGGATTTTTAATTTTGAAAAACAATAATAATTTATGCTATATTTTTAATTTGTTATTAACATACACACTCATTTTTTTAACAATTTTTTGCTATTTTTTCCACTAATTGATTAAGAAAAAGCAAGTAAAATAGTATTAGTCGGTTTTGTCGACAGAACCCCAGCCTTGAGTTATGATTGTTCAAACTGTTTATAGGGGAGGTTTGGAAGCAGTTGGCTTATTCGTATCTGCCCTAAGAATGATAAATGTATTACAACGTGACAGATTTGGACTATATCCACTACTTCCTACACTTTAAATGAGGTATGTGCACATTTTTTGGAAAATGTGGAAATACGTGTGAGGTAACAGATATAGCGGACCGCAGGATTCCATTTTCATAATTCATCTAATACAGATAAAAATATTAGTATATGATAAAAATATTTGAAGGATATCGATATCACAAATTCCGATAAATTACATATTCATATCAGATTTCCGGTTAAGAGAAATATTGAGATATAGCAAGTTGTAAAGAATATAAGTATTGGAAATTGTGAGGGAGGGGAGGCACCAGAAGTGGTTCGCAGATATATATCATCTTCACAAGAGGTCTTGCGTTAGCAAAAATGTTTGTATGTGTGACATATGAAGAGAGTTGAATGCTTTTTTCGCTTTCTTTGAGCGTTTTGTTTTTCAAAATCTTAAACCCTATGTGGGGGAGGTACCGGAATAAATATTCTGATCTCTACCATCTTAATGACAGATCTTGTGTTCATGAAAATACTGAGATGAACCAAGTCTAAGTGGAATCGGATGTTAATTTCGTTTTATGAATTTAATGGATATTCAAAAATTTCACCCCTTGTTGGGGAGGTACCAGATGGAGTGGTCCGATATATCCCATCTTCAAACCAGACCTTGATTTAATAAAATTCTTGTGATGAGTGTAATTTGAAGAGAGTCGGATGCTTATTTCGGATTTTATGATCGGTTTGGTTATTCAAAATTATGACCCCTTGTGGGGGAGGTACCAGAGGCAAGGGTCCGACCTTTACCATCTTTTTAGCAGATCATGTGTTGATGGAAATATTGAAATGTGCCAAGTGTGAATGGAATCGGATGTATATTCATTAATGTGAGCTTCATTAATACTCAAAATGTTGACCCTTTGTGGGGGAGGTACCAGAAGGAGTGTACCGATATATTCCATCTTTACACCAGACCTTGGGTTAATAAAAGTATTGTGATGTTTGTAATTTGAAGACAATCGGACCCTTATATCACTTTTTTATAAGAGTTATAATTATCTAAAAATTTTAACCTTTATGTAGGAGGTACTGGATGGAGTGGACCGATATTTTCCATTTTCACACCTGACCTAGCACTGATTTAAATATTAGGATTTGCATAGTTGGAGCAAAATCGGATTATTTGTTCTCTTTCTGTGCAGTAAATTATTTTCTTTGAAAATGTTGACATTTTGTGGGAGGTGTGGACCGATATTGCCCATCTCCGAACTCGATCTAAGTTTGACAATAACATTACGATGTACCAAGTTTGGATCCAATCTGATACTCCCTTTGAGAGTTATCGTGCGCACCAGCCAGACGGACATCGCTAAATCGACTCCAAATGTCATGAAACGGATTTGATCCCAAGAGGGCATAAAACCGTAATTTTGATGAGTCACGTTTTGGCCGTATCAAATGATATATACCCTCTCTCTAGCCGAGGCTGAGGGTATTTTACTCCCATGTGAAAAAAAAATTCCATCACTTGGCATTTCATTTGGAATTAATTCAATTGCGAGATGATTTTTTTTTGTAAAACACTTAACAGTTGTATTAATCAATTCAAACCATTTACACTAAAGACAGTTTTTATATTTTAGGTACATTTATAGAATGTAAATATAATTCGTTTTAAAAAAGATATTTTCAAAATAAAAAAAATTGATTAAATTCCAATGTGAGCATATCGTTTTAGGCAAGGTCACACAATAGGCGAGTTCAGACCATAGTCTTCTATTGCTGTCAAATGTTTTTCTTCAATATTTCAAGAAAAAATATTTGAATATATTTTCAATGAAAAAGTTGTGTGTTTGACAGCAAAAAAAGACAATAGATGGTCTTACCGTGTCACCTTGTAAATACACCTTAGTCTTAAGCAATACCAAAAAACAAATATTGAATTTGAAAAAAATAATACAATTAATTTTTATGCACAATTACAATTTAAAATTCTACATTTAAGTAACATTTTGTTATTTTTTCTTTTATTTATTTTTTTTTTAATTACGTTTATTTAATGGGGCTAACTACGGTAGTAGTTATATGTAGTTAAGTAGCATTAGTGAGTATTTACTTCATTATGAGTTAATTTTTTGTTTGTTTAATAATAATAACTTTTACTTTGCCTTGCATGGAATATGTTTTCAGTGATTTTTATTTTCCTTTCGATAGGTACCTCTATTGTTGTTGTTTTGTTTAATTTTCAATTTAATGCGCTTGTTTAGTTTCGTTTCGTTTTAGTTAGGTTATTTTTTGTTGCTGTGTATTATGGAAGCAATTTAATGTATGTAGTATATATGTGAGTTTGTGTATGATTTATATTTTATATAACTGTGAGCTTTGTTTCAATGGGAATCCAAAAATATATTGATATTTTGCATTAGTTTTTTTTTGTTGTTGAGTATTTGTATTATCTGGGGCTTGCCTGCCTGGGCGCGCGCTACTGCTTTTGAGATCAAATTTTATTTTTTTTATTTTATTATTTTTTTTTTTTTAATTTTGTGTTTAATTTTTGTTTGTTTTAATCTTGGTGGGGCTTCTTGTAACGGCTTCCTATAGTTGTAGATTTATTTTTTACAAACCAAAATTTGTTATTTACTTTTTTTTGTTTTGTTTGGTTATGTTTTGTTCGCTATTTATGATAAAACACAATTTAACAAGTTTTTGTTTCCTTTTCTTTTTGTGGATTATTTTATCATTTGTTTTTTTTTTTTTTAATTTTTAACGGCTTTCAATAATTGTATTTATTTATACTGTTTGTTTTCATTTCTTTTTCGCTGATATTGTTTCTGTTATTTGCTTTTGTTTCTTTATTTGAGTTGTGTAGTTGTTGTTGTCGCAGTTTGGGTTTAATGCATTTATGTTGGGCGCCATACATCGGGATCTTCCATTAATGTGATATTTTGGTCTGTGCTCACTTGCATTTGCCCAACACTGCCATCGGCTTGCATTTGTGTGGGAGATGAGGCAGCAGCCGCCATGTCCTCGCGTGAGGCTCTTTTTTTTGGTTTGGAGTAAATGCATTACAACAAAGGAGTGGTGGCAGTGTTTCAAAGGACATTGGGTGGTAAACACAATAACAACAAGGCGATAATGGAATTTTCAGTTTTTGTAAAATATTTTCATTTTAGTGTAAATTAGGTAAGCATGTTTTTTGATTGTTTAAGTGTGGGAAGATTAAAGAAGAAACAACAACAAAATCTTGTATTAATTTTCTATAAAAGCATGAAAAATTGACTGTTAGCTCTAAAGCCTGTCATTTCATTAGTCACTTCCATTAAATTATTATAAATATATTCCATCAATACTCACTTTTTACCCAACGACATCATGCCATAGATGACACCGGTGGCAAACACCAAAGCACAGGGGAATAAGCTACCCAATGAGAAGCAAATAACCACCGGAATCACAGAAGCCCTGTCAATGAAAGTAAAAACAATTTAATAAAATAATTAAATAAAATTTAAGCAAAATACTTACACACAATACAAGGCAGCCCGATTCCACATGGGCCTCGAATCGGCTATATCAGCCAATTGCCCAACATAATCTATGCAAAAGAAGCAGCATGGCGCCTCTAAACTCATCACAAGAAAACCCAGCAGGATTTCAATGATACCACCAATGAGACACGAAACGTTGAGGAGCAGTAAACTTAAAGCATTGAAGAGACCAAATAATATACAAACTGCAAAGAAAGGAGAGGAAAGGAGATAAGAAATAAATTTAAGAAGTCATATTCCAAATTTGAAAAAGGAGCCAATATAAGTTCAATAAAAGATGGGATAAAAAAAGATTCGTTACGAATTTACAATAACAAATTGAAATGCCCATAAATAGGAGGAATATTTTTTAAAATATAGATCTACATGGTACATTTTTCTGCTAAAATGTCTTCAACAGATATGGATTAAGGTTTGAAGGTCATAATTCGTGTCAAAGATGACCAATTCGAACAAATCTAAACTTATTCTAAAATTTGATGCCATTTCGGACATTTTTTGTTTCATTCAATAAAATAAAATAAAGAAAAATGTAAAAATTATGGCGTTTGACTTTGTTGCAGTTTTTTATGTCACCCTGTATATATTTAACGATGAAAATCCGTCTGTGGAAATCACTCTAGCTTCCGAACGAAAGGAAGTAGGTTGATAAAATTTAACTCAAATGTATATTATGTCTGCAGGACTTTTGATATTGAAAATTGACCATGTAGGTCCACGTTTTGGTAAAGCCTCCATAAAATGCTACCTTCCGATATTCGGTATTTTGGGGATTTTAGCGACATTTTTACCGGATTTTTTTCAAAATTAATATTTAAAGTTCGTAATAGATGCTACTGCTTAAGACAGAAAATGGGCCATGTAGGCCCACGTCTTCGAATAGCCCCCATACGGTACCTCCCGATATGCGGTATTTTGATGATTTTAGCGACATTATTTACAGGAATAGTCTCAATTTTGGTATTTGGAGATCGTAATGGATACTATAGCCTATGACAGAAAATTTTCTGTGCTGGTCCAAGTCTTCGTATAGCCCCCATATAAAGTCACCTCCCGATATTCGGTATTTTTATGATTTTAGCGACATTATTCACCGGAATTGTTTAAAATTTGGTATTTGAAGTTCGTAATGGATACTAAAGCCTAAAACAGAAAATTGTCTGTGCAAGTTCACGTCTTCGTATAGCCCCCATATAACGGCACCTCCCGATATTCGGTATTTTGATGATTTTAGCGACATTATTCACAGGAATTGTTTCAAATTTCGTATTTGAAGTTCGTAATGGATACTATAGCCTATGACAGAAAATTTTCTGTGCTGGTCCACGTCTTCGTATATCCCCCATATAATGGTACCTCCAAATATTCGGTATTTTTTTTTTTCAAGATTCGCATTTGAATATTGTAATGGCTTATGACAAAGGTTTTTTAAGATTTTAACAGAATTTTAAACGGATTCTATTTTTATTTTATTTATTTATTTTTTTTGTTTCTTTATTTTTTTTTTTTTTTTGAAAACTGCTAAATTCCTTCAAAATTGTGGAGGGTAGTCAAACTTCGGCTCGGCCGAATTTACAGCATTTCTAATTGTTTTTGTTTTCACAACTTCATTATCTTTAATTTCATTATCAACATTTCTTGATGTTCTTCTCATAATAAATTTATGGTGTATCTTTTCTTATCTAAAAATATTAATATAGAACTATTTTATAATACGCCCCAAAAAGAGCTATGATTTCTCAAATTTCTTCCCTCACTCAGATAACAAACATAATAACAGCAACAACAATTGGAACAATATGCTACAGCTGCTTATCGTCATTTATAAAAAAAAGTGGTTTATGAGGCAAAACCAAAACAAGTTGAGAGATTTGTTTGGCTTTTATTTGGTAGACAGATTTGTTGGATTTGCCTTTTGCCAAACTAATCGCCATGGAAAATATTTTACTTAACTGTATTCTTCACAAAGATTTAATGTTTATTTACTTTTATACCCTCCAGTGATAACGGACTTTTGAGAATGAGAACTTACTTAAAGTAAAAAATGGCATAAATGATGGCGAAAAACAAGTTAGTTACGTTAATGATCTTACTCTACTTTAGTCATGAAACCGGTTCCACCATACCCACAACCTACCATTCATCAGTCAATAAGTCTAGGCTAGAGCATCACTACTGAGGCTTTTTCAGTTGCAGTAGACTAGTCTCGTTGACGTTGGAAAAGATTAATTTGTATGCATGTTAAGTGAGTGAGTGTGTGCGTGCGTGTGTCTAGGAGTGACGTGGTTTCTATAGTAAATTTGTTTTGTTGTTGTGGGGGGTTATTAAACTTCTTTGCCGGCTTTTTTACTGTCCCACAGCGTTTTTTTTTTTTTTGCATTATTTTGTTGTACTCATTTCGTTTGCTATGAATGATTTGTTTCGGAACAGCCATCATCAATAAATCAAATTAACAATCTATAGTTAGTAGTTTGTAACGGGGAGAGTTGGAGGGGATCTTATTTTATAATTCTATTAAATTGATTGTTTTACTTTTGTTTTCCTTTATCAACAAAATTTTGCGTTCAAAGAGCCGCTATTGTTTACCTATGACTCATTAACTTACAGGTATTTGTTGTAGGAAAATGTGTGATGCGTATTTTTAGTGGGGAAAACAACAGCAACTGTGGACGCCAAGAAATTAAAATTGCATTATGCAAAATAGTGGAGGTAAACAAACAGATGACTTTATTTGTATTTAATTGTGAATGCAGTCTTCTGTTTGTGTTGGGAATTTGGTTTAGTAACATGATAAAATACACTGAAAAAATTTAACAATTAAAAAAGGAGTAAAGTTCGCTGAGATCGGAGCTTTGAATGCCCTACACCATGTGGAAATTGAAACATTTGGAAATATGTTTAAAATGAGGTCAGAACTTTACATTACAGCAGATTTAGTCGAAAATGTCGGGCCAAATTTTTCAATACCCAAAATCAAGTGGTACCATTAGATGGTGGCTATACCAAAACATGGATCTACATTCAATATTTACAATACTGAATACGAATACTATACACTGGGAGCCCGAAATACTAAATTACTTTTAATATTATTTGAAATAAAGACCGACAATTTCATCATTAGAATCTACAAAATACCGAAACGTCGATCGGCAGAGCCAATTTTCTGTCATGGGAGATGGCACCTGTTAGGTTACAGGATGCACTGCTGCACTAGAGTCGGCAGCTGCTTTACTGACAAACCACTGGTCCACTGTGTTCATCTTAAGAATTTGTTATGAAAGGCAAGATATAAACTACGAAGACTTAGTAATGATATGCTTTTAGCAAACCTGTGGATGAATCTACGTCTGAGAAGACTACCGAATAGCCTATGTCTTTTGCTTTAGCAGTGAGGGGCATTTGCATATTATATGTTCAATCGTCTCTATCTCTCCTTCGTCCTCCAAAAGTCTATAGTAGCGGGACCGCCGTTATACCATCTAGGCGGTGGTCAACCCTTATGCCCCTACGATTTTTAGATAGGGCCTACTCATTGAAAAAGTTAAGACGCTCTTTTTCTCTAGATTGCCGGCCAGATGGCGCTATCAATTCAAACGGTTTTCAGATGTCGTTTTCGTAGATCAAAGCCTTTTTGAGTCAGGCTGACACCAACGAACAATAAAAAAAAACTTTAAATGGACGTTAAACAAAAAATTTTTTCATGTATATAACAGTTTTTTTTAACTTTGTAAAACAGTTTTTGCTGTTATACAAGCATCATACACTCACTCCAACTATGATACACAAAACTCCATCAAAATACATATATTTTTGTGCGTATAACAGTTTTGTAAAACTGTTATACTACTTATACACTCTTCTAAATGATGTCGAACAGCAGTAGCATTCAAAATATATCAAAATGCATAAATTATGCAGTGTATAACAGTTATGTGAAACTGTTATACTGGCTCCAAATTCATGTAATGAGGAATGAATCTAAAAATGTCAACAAAAATAGTTAAATGCAAACATTTTCACATGGTAGCATTTAAAATATATCGAAATGCATAAATTTTGCAGAGTATTTAAAATAGTGGGTTTTAAAATATACTTGTTTCCAAACGCCCTACGTTTTCCTAATCTGGTTTAGTAATTTCAGTTCAGAATTTCACCTCTTATTTTTGGCGCCATTCTATTTCATATTTAGATTATTTATTTATTCAAAAACATCGTGCGTTCATCTTTGGGTCATATAACGATCTTTTCTAAATTGCAAATCAATTGGACCCTAATGCGTCCTGCGCTTAGATATGAACAATACATGTAGCAAAATTTCTGAAGAATTTAAACCTACATCACAGTTCACTTGCCTTCGAAACAACTTGTCTCGATAGGCTTTACGTAATCCCATAAAATCCGTGAAATATTTGGCACATCTAGATTATATCACAGATTTGTTTTCTACCGCAGCAACAATGCCCTCTCAATTATTAGTTCATCAACGAACAACCTTAAACCACAAGTGAAACCATTGAAGCATTCATAGTCAAAGTAATTCGATACATTTTAGTATCACATGGGGCAAATCCAAAAACAAAGCCATACAATTCAACAATATTTGCATTAAATTCAATAAATTCTTATTAGAAATAATTGATTTCAACTTATTTAACTTATCAAGGACATATTGGGCATAAATGCGTTATTAAACATTGTTTTTTTCGGAAGCAATCACTTGACAATAGTAACCCATATTCCTCAAAACATAAAGCATAACATCAAGGATACCAAACATCAACATATCCATATACATACACACTTATGTCTAAACAACAACAGAAAAAGAGCGAGAAGAGATATTTTGAATACCGAATGGTGGTGGAGGAGGAATGGTGTGTTCTATGTGTACGGGGGGAGGGAGGGTGTATTCTTTCGCTATCAATGTCAACCAACCAGCGTATAAAGACAAACCAAAACGTAACAGAACGACCTTAAAAAGTAACCCAACAAACATTACAACACTACGCACGTACCAACAACATAGTCAAAGGACCCCCAAACCACACACACACCCTCCTACTCCCCCACACCAAATTTTTGTGATAATGTAAAGGCTCATCAACAGCCAACCAAAACTTGAAGCAGCAGCAGCAGCATGTACAAACATGAGCGTAAATTAATGATAACAAGAGAAGAACAGCAACAAAAAAGGCGACTTGCATACACACTAACTGGCGAACGTTTTACTCATATACAAAAAATAAAAAAAGAAAAACACACAGGAAAAATCGAAGAACCAAGAAAAAACATACACACAAAATCGATTCCAGCTCACCCACAATCCTATATTTAAAACGTTTTTTTTTTTCAAAACATAATTAACTTCCGTTGTCTATACTTACAGAATGCTCCTGTGATACCCAGAAACCGCACACCATATTTAAAATACCAAGGCTGGTCGTCTGTGGGTCCAGGCTGTTGATTGGGCCTAGCCATTAAACTGGTAATCTTTTCCGCAAAACTCTGCAAGAAATTAACAAAATTACATGGCATCAAAATTTAGCAAAACTACATAAAACAAAAACTGGAGAACATATTGCTGCTGGGTTTCTTCGATGTGCATATCATCGTCGTCATCGTAAATTCCCTTATTATTTCGGCTGAAAAGTGGCCACATAAGAAGTCTTCTTTTTCCAAAGCCATCAGCAGTACCACAAAATCCACCATTTTATATTCTCCCACATTATCGGCTACTCACCATTTTGTCTGTGTGTAGTTATTTGTTGTTGACTTATTAGTTATATTTATTTATTAAATTTTAAATATCTCCCGTTGCAGCAGCAGCAGCTTAAGTTTTTTCACTTTTTCTCCTGTTCTGTTCTTTTTGTCTTCTTCTTATTTTTTCTTTGACGTTTCGACTTTTTTGGAGGTGATGTTGCCACTCTGTTGCAATACATTTATCGGAATGATGAATTAAGGGAGAATTGCAATAAGTGCTGCCAAGTTTAATGAATCGAAGTGAAAATGAGATAAGTGATGCCAAAAGAACTTAAGACTGCTTGACACGATTGATGTACAAGAAAACAAGACTTTGTTTATTTCAAACAAGACTTTCGTTCGGTTTTTCCTTATTTTTTAATGATAGGACGGCATAAATTAATGAAAATTGCTATGCAAAACTGACATCGTCTTGAATATATTATGTAATATATAATTTTTAGAACTATAATTGTTTACATTAAACAGGCTATCATCTTTATGGGAATTTATTTGACATATATGCAATAACAGTTTCAAACCAACATTTATGTGACTATAGAGGCTATATATATCATTTGAAATGACCAAAAGTGTCCCCTTAAAATAACTTTTCTACTTTCCTTAAACATTTTAAGGAATAATAGATGAAATTAATAAATAAAATGTAATGTTCATTCAATGTAATGTCCCTGAAATCCCAATTTAAAATGTAAGTTGATCCTTGAAAAAAGCATAAAAAAATCCACGAAAAAAACTTTTAAATATCAGTTGTCCTTTGGAAAATAAATTCTGTGCTGAATTGATATTATTCTTATTAAACATACTCATAAGGTCCCTTGTGGAAATTTCCCAAAAATAATTTCCTTTTTCCACACCGACCTTCTTGAAGGTCACTTCGTGTGCTGCATGCTGGGTTAGTCGAGAGAGAAACCAAGACAGGTCATTTCGTATCTCATACCTATATGGCGGTGATAATTTGCCCAATGACCTTCATTACAGGAACAAGGTGATAGTACATGAACAGCAACTGCGGAGACTTCAGCATGGCATATTTTGTGACATAACATAACAGGAATGCCAGAGCCACACTTAAATTCAACCCATTATAAATTGACATTTATATGCCTTGCCATGATGCCAAGCTGCTTATGTACCCTTACCTTAATCCTCGTTTTTTGGTTTAGTTTTGCTAATTCGAGTCCTTGATATAAGCGAAAAGTTAAACACGCTTGGGTGCATTGATATGCCAAAAAAAATTTTTTTCACATATAATTATATTTTTATATGTTTTCTTATACGACGTCATTCGGAGTTTATTATAATTCGCGTCTTTCAATAATTTTTACAAATTTAAATAATTTTTCATTCAACAGTTTCAATTCCAAAATTGGTTTGACAGTTCATTGTCCAAGCAGCTGTGTCGATGGTTACTTTTTTTTTACCTAACTCAATATCCTTACTTGACCTTCAAATGTTGGTACCTGTTTGATTTAAGTGACTTCACTAAACCATCAAGCACATGTTGTGTGAGTCGCCTCAAATTAGTTTCAATGTTATGTTTTTTGGTTTTACGGCCAGTTTCAGAATGAGGATTCGGCATTTTATGTTTGGAATGAATGAAAACGCCACAATGAGGTCTTTATGATTGGTAAATTCTAAGATAGTTTTAATAACAAAATTATCCGATTTGAATTATTTATTAAACATAAAGTTGAGAATACATAAAATACTTTCCTGACTAGGGCCGAAATCGAACTATATCAACCTAAAACTCCCTTGTTCCTCTACGAAGAAGCTAGCGGATGACTTAAGCCAGTCCAAAAAAAAGCCTATTATGTGCTCTCACCTTAATGCTTTAAACATTTACGTTTTCTCCAGAAAGTCCTTTTTAATTTTTTTCTTCAGAAATCTTCGTTATTCTTAAATGTTATTGAGTATTTCTAAAAAAAAACATTTTACATTTTAATGTCCCATCTTTTCATATTTTATTTAATATTTCAAGGAGCCTACTTGATCGATAGTGTTTACTGCACTTCAACTTAAAGCTATGGCAATAAAAATAATATTTTCTCAATTGTGAATGAAACAGATAGGGATTACGTCTGTGCTACAATAACACAAATAATGTTCTCTATTGTGAATAGTTCATTAAGAATGTCACTGTAATAAATTATCAAAAGAAAAAGCGGTATTTATGAGGCTGTCAGAAGAAAGAAGTCAAGCAGATAATTTTTTTTTTAAATTTTAATATTTGATGGTGTTTAAAATAGATGTATGTATGTATGTTCGAGTTTTTCATATTCATCGGCCAATTATAAGGTCCCTTTCAAAGCTAGACGACTTTGTAATGGACTACCAAATTTAATGTAACAATGCATTATTGTGAGTGAAATGAAAGAACAAAAGATATAAAAACAACAAAGTTTAAACAAATGTTGACATTTAAATTTACAGAATTAAAATAACAACAATCAACATTTTTACATCCTCAACATCTTTAAATAGCTGCTCCTTTGATGTAATTCCTCGAAATCTTCGGATTGTATGGGTTCCATTGGTAAAACACCTTTTTTCGATGACAAATACTTCTTTAAATCTATTGCGTTTTTTCCAAAATCTAGTGCAAACTATGCCACTAATATCTGTCGTCATTTTTCCCTGGCTAACTAGCCTCTTTATATGGCCCTTTAATGTCATTGTCTTCTTTTGTGTCCGCTAGCTTGCTGCCGGTGTTTCTTTTTGTTGTCTGTCTATTTGGCTGTCACTTAACAGTCACAGGTTAATGGTGACCTGCTGTTTGGCATATTAACACCCTAGCAAATCACATTCTCGGCTGTTTCATTTGAAATTTGCTTAAGATTAGTGTAAAAGAATTACTTTGCCGAGACATACTTGGGGGGTGCACAAAATCCCGCTAGGCAACAGATGAAAAATTTTTGCAAAATCACCTTTTTAACGCCTAATAATGACCAAGAAGAAGATGACGATGTTTTCATTTTCTTTAGGCATATCGGCACTTTAAAGCATCAATTTCTATTACCCAGGTTTTCAAAGAATTCCAAGATGAGCAGAATTCGTGCCAAAGGTGACCAATTCGAACAAATCTAAACTTATTCTAAAATTCGATGCTATGTCCGAGATTTTTTGCTTTCATTCAATAAAATTTAAACAAAAATGTAAAAATTATGGCGTTTGACTTTATTCAGGGGTGCTCAAGAAGAAATATCTGTTTTCAGTCAAATTTCTCTTTGCTTATTTAAATCAAGAACAAAACAGTGTTAAGTCATTATTTATACAAATATTTTTTATCCATTTGCTTTATAAACTATTTTGGCAAACATTCGTGTTTAAAAACAATTAAATAGAACAGTAAAATATAAAGAAAAACTGAATTTTAATTTTCTCTTAAATTATCTCTTTTTTCTCTTCATGTTCTAGAACACGGTTTTGAGCACCCCTGCTTTATTGCAGTTGTTTTTATATTTCTCTTTAAAAACCGTTGGCTCTTTTTATCCATTTTTTCTCTTTAACCTTTATTTTCTCTCTCTCTCTCTAAATATTATCTCTTAGTTTTACAATAATTTCAAATAAGGAATTGAATTTCCAATCTTTTTTTGGAGAAAGGCAGCTTCCTTTTTTGCAGATAGCAAAGGAACTTGCATATTAAATTTCCGACTTCCATTTGAAGTCTTTGACCAAAAACGACAACAACAAGAAATTAATAAATCTTATTGTACTACGAAAAAAATTTAAATTCCATTTCCGAAATGGTATTAATTCCTAAGAAGAAAGCAACTCAAAGAAAGAAAATTTGCAAAATGCCAGGCTTTACTCTCAAAGATCATCCAAAGTATCTTCTTCCTCTGCTTAGTCTCAAAAATCCTCTTTATCTTTGCAAAACTCAAACACAAAAGAGCAAAAACAGGCGATCATTTTTCAAACAAAAAATTTCAGATGATTAATCTTTTTTGCTGCGAGGATTTGAAAAACACCACCACGACAAAAAAAGGTACCTAGAATTTTCGCCCGGTATTGTTGGCAAATTAAAATTGTCCATTGGCGGAATGAGGCCAGCAATGCGAACAAAAAAAACGGCAAATGAGTAGGTGAGTCCAGCAAATGGCCAATGCTTATCAATTGTTTTCCTTTTGTCTTGACCACAAAAGGCAAACGTTTTGGTTTTGTGCCACACAGCCGCCAAGGCTGGCCGATAGTCAGTTATTCAGGCTAAATCAAGCATGCGCAAAAACAGATGTTCTTTTTTGCTTGGCTGGATGGATTGGAAACGAAATCTGTGCCAAAAAAAAACTGATACAAGATCGAGTTCATTGATAAAAATGAAAACAATTGTAATTCAATAAAGGATAGGAATTGGCTATGAGATCAGGAATTTGGATAGGAGCTGGATATTGAAAAAAATAAAATTTTAAAATTCTTCCGAAAGTGACCCCAACAAAACATTAAACGCGATTTAAAAATTATTTTCAAAAAATCGACGTCCTTATAAAAATAGGCCTTAAAATCCACGTCCTTCTTAAAAATACATGTCCATGTTCATGTTTTCAAAATATTATTTAAAAATGTATGTCCGTTTGAAAAGAAAATCTTAAAAAACCATGTCTCTTTGAAACAAATCCTAAAAAATTATGACCTTTTTAAAATATCCATGCCCTTTAACAAAACTTAAAAAATCCACGTCTTCTAAGAAATATTCTTAGAAATCAGCCTCCTTTTGGAAAAAAATCTTAAAAACAAGGATGTCCTTTAAAAAACGCATCCCTTGAAAAATATCTCAAAAGAAATCCATATCCTTTGAGAATCATTCTTAAAAATTGCATTCCTTTGGTAGACTTTTTATTAAAAAAAAAATCATTCTATTTAAAAAAACCATGTCCTTTGGACGAAAAATGAAACAACCCATTCTCTTTTGAAAAAAAAATCACGTCCTTTTGACAAAAAAATAAACAACCCTTTTTTTGAAAAAAAATCCACGTCTCTTAGAAAAAATTCTTAAAAAATCCATGTCATTTTGAAAAAAAATCTTTAAAAAATACACGTTATTTTGAAAAAAAAAATCTTCAAAAAATACATGTCCTTTTAAAAAAAATCTTAAAAAATCCACTTCCTTTGAAAAAAAAATATTTAAAAAATCCATGT